ATGTGTTCAAGGAGTTTGTTTTGGAGATTAAAATCAAATCATTACTGTTTTACTTCACAAGAATCTTATTTGGTTTCTGAATTGCTCCCCAGGGAAGGGAATCTTAATAGGGCATCAATAAGTTTTCATCTCAATGGCACCTCTTCTGTTTAGACCCATAACACCCTTAAATAGTTTATTTTCTCCATCTTCTCTCCTGATGAGTTATGATGTTCTCCCCTGGAAATGTTTCATGTTTTGCAGAGTGATCCCTATGGTTCCTTAGGCTGAAAGTATAGGTATCTTTCGAAGATGCTTAAGTTGAAGTCGTATTTTAGCCATTAAAGACCTAAAGCTGCAAAGCAAAACCAATCCCCTATTTCTAAATGAAGCGGGGAGTGTCTGTTAGAAACAAGGTCTCTAACGAGATTGGGAATTGAGAAATTAGCTAAATCAATTAAGGATTGATCTAGCTAGGGTTTGGGAAGTTGGGAAATTGAGAACAAAAGGGGAGAGGAATAGACTGCTGCTGCCGCCAGTCTTGGAAGAAGAGAGGGAGAGGGTCGACGCAAGGGAGAAGGAAAAAGAGATAGATATTAGGTTTAGGTTTTGATTAATCGATTGCTTAATGAAAATAATGCCACTAGTACAGATTATATAATCCGTCTAATCTTTATTTACTACCCAACTAATTAAACATAACAATCAACTCCCTGTTTATTCCCGAATACCCCAAATAATACTTCGAATCATAAAAACCGACTATAATACGAATTAATCAAAAACTGCAATTAATGTGTTTCCCACCGAGTCAAAAAGTAACTCAAGTGGATTATTCCTATTTATAACCTTGGTTTGCTCTTTATCTTGAGACGAAAGCTGGGCATTGACGATTAGGCTTTTTCAGCTGTGTATAACAGGTGGAAAGTTGGTCACAGTAATTGTGGAACGGAACTAGAGCAAAACTGAAATAGTGTTGTTTCGCATAAATGCCAGATAGGGGTGGCTATTTAGACCGGGACCGGATTAAAATCCGGAAACCGAACCGTATAACCCGGACCGAGACCGGATAGTAAACAATCCAATCCAATCTTTGGGCTTATATTTGAGGTAAAAAACCGGATAAAGACCGGATAAGAGAGCTCAACACCCAAAACTTAAGGGTAATTTGCATAAACGATCACAAACCTTTGCACTTAGTACAAAACTTAACCAACTCCTCACCCTTTAAGGCCTTAGGCCACTCAAATCCCACAATCTCAATGTAAAATCAAGACCGAATTGGGACCGGACCGGATCAAGACCGGACTGTATCCAATCCAATTTTCGGTCCTTATATTTTCAAAAAGACCGGACTGGATCGGATCAATTTGGGCCAATTTAACCGGACCGGACCGTATAGCCACCCCTAATGGCAGATGAATGTACTTAACTAAAGGTTTACTTGTCATATATATTTATATTATATAGCTCCTATCCTATTATTTTCCTAAGGTATGCAACTTTATCCAAACTAAAGAGCCTTCTCGGGCTCGGCAATGATGCGAAAGATGTAAAAAGTTCAGCACTCAACCCTCCAATACTGATGGTTGGTTGGTTCCATTCTAATATGAGATTTATGCAGTTATCTTATCTGGCTCAACCCATATGCAAACTGCCTCCTTTACTAGAACACCTGCAATATCAAGCACCCATGACTCTGCACAAGCTGTATCCTCCATAGCAAGAAACGTCAACTCCAACAGTAAGAACTTGGAATCCACTCTTAGAGTCATCGAGATTCGACTGCTTCATTATGCCAAGAGAAAAAAAGCCGATCTCAATCCCAAGAAAATGGCATGCCCTTCACTGTAAAGTTGATATCTTTATACTCCTGGTGAATCCAGCATGGAATTATCTAAATCCCTTGTCTGCGCCCTGCGGTCATTATATTATCGTTCGGTTGCTACTAACCTTGTGCAAACAGATGATAGTATTTAATTTCATCGGTCGGTTTTATGCTTTGACAGAATTCTAGGGATCAACGATGAACCATCTGTTGGAGCTCATGAATTCATGTATAGCAGTAAATCTTTTCTAGAGTAGCCTTTATAGTTTTTGGATCCATAAATTGCAAGCAAAAGAAACAGCCAAGACTATAATGCTGCTGCTGATGTACATCTTCTTAAGTTTGAATTCGTAATTGTGGATATCCGCCCGAATTCGACCTAATTAGTTAGGGTAAAACCCCAATCCAAAGGACTTTTAGTGGGTGTGGATAAAATCCGAACCCGAATATCGTGGATAATGAGTGGGCGTGGTCTTCCCACTATTATACACATGCATATGTATTTTGTCTAGAAATAATCAATATTTTCTCTAACTTATTTTATATTTAGCATATAAATATAAATTTTTTATGAAATTGTGTTGTTTCAATTAATTTTTTTCATTCTAGTGAATTATTGTCGTACTTTTCGTCTTACGTAACGTGAGAATACATGTAAATTTTAACATATTAGTTGGAGTTATAAAAAAAAACTATTACCCATGAATAACCGTGGATACCCGAAACCCGAACAGGTATGAACATAGTTTGGATTTTCTACCCGTTTCTTATATGGGTATGGGTAAAATCGTAACTACTTTAGGTAGGATAACGAATATGCACTATCCGTCCACGGCCCAACACATTGTCATCCCTAGGCGAGTTGGGTTGGGCCATGGGCCACGTTCAATAAGCCACAGAATTTGTCCAACATTTATTAAACCAATCTGCCATGTCACAATCCACATGGACTAAACAAGTGGTAATGAAACCTATAGTAAACAAAGTGAGATTCGATATCTGTTGATTAATCTTTGAATTCAGAACTCGAACCATTCACAGAAAAGAATCGCATCAATTTCTCATCCATTTGCCAGATTAGCCTTGAATGCAACAATTATTTGATGCCATTTTACGATTAACACGACTCAGAGTGGCGACAAAAACAAGAAAAGAGAGCTAGAGGCACCAATTTGCAACAGATTGGTAGCCTTCAATAATAGCTGAGTCCTGTAAAGAATGAACAACTGATATAAAAAGTTCTGCTGATCTAACCATCTCAACATGCTTCAGAACAAACATAACCAACAGGTTTAGACGCTAAGCAATTCAAAAGCAGTCGATTCTACTGTAGCCAACAGTGCTTGGCAAGCTCATCAACTCGCCACAGTCCAATTTGTGCTACCCGATACCAGCTCTCAAAGTCCCCTGAAACATTCATCGATACCTTCAGTAGCTACCCGATTGCATAGTTCTTAACTTGAAAAGAGGAGAGAGATGCAACCAAAAGGAAAGCAGCTTCCTTGCAATGCATGAGCAACGCATCAAAGTTTCAAAAAAGAGAAAGCAAGCATCAAAGGGGAGATGAAAAGTTAGATAAAACCCTACAGTCTAGTCATCCAAAAAGAACGATATTCGTAACTTGATAATACAAGTTAACATTATCAAAAGATCTTCTGATAAACCAACTAAAAGTAACAATCTTTTGTCAAGCCCTTCGATAGACAACCAGCTTTCACAACAGCAATCACTAGAGCTTCAATCTGCAACCATTTCCACGAGAACATTCTTAATCACCGATCAAGCTCAAAGACTCATATCTTTGTTTGCTTGAATACAACAAACCATGAAAACCCCCACTAGCAGAAAAGAGTAAAAAAACTCTTTTGCCAAAAGCACAATCCTCAGGTCTAAGTTCTATTCACACCCAAAACCTCAGCTTATCCACATTGCTTCGCATTCATAAGATCCTAACCATCCTAATTCGACGTAATTTGACCTTGACCTTCTCCATCATAACGAATTCTCGCTTAAAACACAGCTAAAGCACAGAGAATATCCAAATGCTCCATAGCCTTACCCATTCAACTTCAACCCTCTACCCCTATACCATATTCTCGAATCCCTTTCCACCATCCCAAACATTTCCAACACCTAAATTGCAGTTCTCGCGAGTGACAATTCACCATCTCCCTCAGATAAAAAAGCTAAGGAAAAATGATGTTAAGAATCCAGACAAGTACCTGATCTTTTTCTGGAGGATGCCCTGGAGCTTGCGGGCGAGATCCTCAGATTTAACACGGTGCATCAGGTTCTTGTGAGCCAAAACTCGCTTCTCCGAGTTCTTCAGGTGAGTCGTCTGCGCCCGCTTGATCAGCCGTTCCATCCCGCTCGATTGCATCTTCCGCTGCAACACGGTGAGAGCCCTCTCGACGTTCCCGTCGTACACCTCCACCCGTATCCCCCGCAATTGCTGAGTCCTATACAGCTGGCTCTCCCGAGTCACCAACGAGTTCAACGACGCGGCGGCGACGGACGCGCTGCTCCGTATCCAGTTCATCATTTTTCTTCCCCGGCCGTCTTTCTCTCAAATTCTAGGGATTTCTTCCTTCAGTTTTCAGGGTTCGTGCGACATTAATTCGTCTCTGGTTCTAATTAAATTACCGAAAAGGTCACTGAACTTTGGATATAGCTTTAAATAAGCCACCGAACCTTGAGATGGCTACAGTTTAGTGATTATATTAAATGTATTGCATTTTTGACAGATTATATATCGGGTTTTCAATTTGATATTTCATAATAGAATTTTTATTTATTTTTCAATTCTACGCAATATACCGGATTATAGGTTGATAAATATGCTCAATATACATTTACATTCACATTAGGGAATACAAATATTGTAGACAATATGGAGTATGGGCTTATAGTGCCTAGCTAACCGTTGCTTGTTGGCGACATTGAAGAGTAGTTGAACGGATTATCGGTTGAAGAGAATGAGCAACAAGAAGAAGCAAATTTCTATTTTTTAGTAGGAACTTATGATTCAAAATTAAGAAAAGGAGTAAAGTACGACGTATCATTGATAATTTGAGATGAATTCATTTTAGAGAAGGTAAGTTGCCTTCTTTTTCTTCCCTTGGTGATGGACAAAAGAAAGCAAACGCTAAAGTTTAGTGACTAATTACCATGGTGGTGGAAGTGGATAATTACCAAATCACATCACACTTTATCCATAATTACGAAATTGGACCCCAATTGATATCTCGAAACTCGATCTGGAGCTTTGTTGGGTTAACACTCAACAACTTCACATGGACTGTGATCTCAGACTCGGCGAGAGAGAACTGAAACAGAAATCTGGAAGAAAACGAAGAGACGACGGCCAGAGAAAATTCCCTTGAATTCCCGATTCCCCTCTTCTTGTTTCTCTGGTGGGCGGCAGGGAATTAGTAGTAGTAGAAAGTTAGGTGGTGGAACTGGAAAGAGCTGGCGTCTTACAGTCCGAAGCGAGTCATGGCGGAGCTGAGGCTCTCGAGCTCGCTCGGTGCCAGAGCTACAGCTACTTCGTCTCCGGTGAAGCGCGACGAGAAAGACGCTTCCCCTCTCCTCCTCCACCACGATAAACGCCCTATCGCCGTCAACGACGACGACGGTCGCCGCCACCATTTCGCCAAGGATCGTGAAATTGATTAGAGGTTAAACCACTATCCACCAAATTGATTAATGATTAACCAAACTGATTAACATCTCTAAGAATGATATGTTATCGTATATAATCATACAGTAGCTAATTAGCCCGCGCTTTGCGCCGGGTAAACTTTTTGTAACATACTTTAATTAATTTACGTCAACCAAATAGTTAGAAATGAAAAATTAACTTAGCATAATTTGTGTAAAGAGGTGGCACAAAACAACTGAATTTATATATATAAAAATTTCAAAGCAAGCTTAAACCCTTACATATTTTTGATTATGTTTTTGTCATTGAAAAAATAACATCACAAAGTAATGATAAAGTGAGAAAGTAATCAATAGGAAGTTAAATTGAGAATGATGCTAGAGAATACTATTGGGAGTGTTACTAAATAATCTGTGCACAGACTAAGTAGTAGGGTGTACAATCGGCGATGCGCGACGCTCGATACTCGCTACAGGTAAATAAGGGTTTGAAGACCTTCAAATGAAAGACTTCTTTCACTTTCCACTATATCTCTACACTTTATCTCTCTACTTTGTTCACTCAACTCTTACTTTGAACAGAAACTAACTTGATCGTCGGAGCTTAATCCGGGGGCATCCCGGCTCTTTTATAGGTTTCTTCCTTCCCGACGAGATCAGACGAACGGATCGTGAGTCAACCCCACACCAACAAATATCATTGTTCATACCTCGAGCTAGATGGTACAAACAAATACCATACAAGCATCAGAAGTTAGTTAACACTAACACAGTAGGCTTAACAGTGCTTTTCATTACTTGGAAGTTGGAATTTGGAAGAACATTTTATAACCCACTAAAAATCATGTTTCACCAGTACTCGACAGTGTCATTGTGGCAAGGTAACCAAATTCATAATAAGTGACGATATAATCTTGGGTTTGAGTACTGGTATCTACATAGTTCTTCCTCCTCCGCATCATACAATAACAACACTAAAACTCTTGTTTTACTATCAAATTGAAAGCTAAAACAACTTGTTAACTTATTTTATGTTAAAGGGAGCGATGTCACGTCTCAACCTCAGTAACAACCTAGGCAAGGAAGAGCGATAATCAACAACCATAACTCGTATTAAACATGGAATATTAGTTCACATTGAAATACTAAGATGGACATCCTGTCCTCCCCTCACCACAAAGCGAGAACTAAATAGCCCTCCAGAACAAATAAAAAATGCAGGAGAAGTTGAACCCTTTAGGAGGTTGGAAGAAAGATATACAATCACAAAATTCACATACCGAAATAATCCTCTGACTCCTTTAAACGATACCTAAAACAAACTGAAGCAAACATTCTGACCATTGCTTCTGCTTTCATTGCGACCACTGCCCTCTGTTGCGCCTTGTTTTACCTGGTCAGGAGGACGAGGAATTCGGATGATGTTATAGAATTTTGGGAGCTGGAAATTGACTAGGGGGAGTTCATGTTTGGTAGCTGCATGCGATCCACTTCTCTCAGCAGAACTTCCTTCCTACTAAGTTGCACTTGTAATTATAGTTTAAGTAGAAATGATTTTTTAACTATTCCTTAATAGAAAGACGTTGAAGACAGGGTTGTCAAGAAGAAGCTTTCTGATCTTGGAAAAAACTCATGCCATACTAAGAAATTGGAACCACTAATCCTATTACTGAACATGTAGTTGTGATCAAAACTCATGCCATACTAAGAAATTGGAACCACTAATCCTATTACTGAACATGTAGTTGTGATCAAAACTCATGGCATACTAAGAAATTGGTAACACTAATCCAACTGAACATGTATCTTGAAAAGTAAACAAACATATTGGTTCATAATCAAGCTCACACATAATAAATTGCTAATCTGGAGAAATCACCGTGCATGCCAAATGACAAAACTTTCTAATGATGAGATTCGTGAAAGGTCAAGACAATGAGAACTATTCTAGTTCTAGACAATGCAGCAAAATCACCACTAAGCCCACAGCAGAATGAATCTCATAAGAAACCAAAAGACTCACAGAGAATGAGGAACCTACAAAGGACAAAACGTAGACGTGTTATTCCTTAACCTTTAGTAGATCAGGCCTCTTGATAATTTGATGGAAATTCTGGACAGTTTTCAACCTCTTTTTTTTCTTCCGGTCCTGTGAAATTCTTTTAAGCCTGAGAACACAAATATATCTTTCGTTCTATGAGCAGTTACAACTACAGTAGATAATCATCCCAAACCCCACCCACCCCATTCTAAAAAGAGTTGTTCCAAATTCCATATATAGATAATAGAACACCAAATTGTCGGAGCTAAACCAAGGTCTCACTCATCAAACTTACGAAGCAAAAAGAATTAAGCTAGAAAGTTAGTAGTGAGGAATCATGAGCGAGCGAGCGAGCAACACACAAATTGAATCTAATCTTCAGTTACTGAGAATACCCACATAAATAAGCCTGTTGCTAACAACAGAATGCAATATTGAGAGAAGCAATCATATAGACAGGATGGAAGCGGAAAAGTAGCAGCAAAAGCTTGATAGAGAATCTGAATTCCACCCAGTTGTAGCCGTCAATGGCGGATCTGACGATAGGCACCACTCCAGCAAGAGAATTTGGTGAGTAGTTGGTGTATAGTCAGTCAGTGAGGGTAAGAAAGAAGAGAAGAGAGGTGGGTTTATGCCATGGCTCTATCATGCCTTGGATTTAGCGGAGAATAGAGTCCATGGCTTCGGTGTTGTTGGGAATAGGAAAAGGGAAGGCTTCAATTTCGCCGGGAAGAAGAAATAAATGGTCTTTGCCGGCCGCCAGGGTCCTATGGGATTTCTTTTCTAGGGTTTTGAGGAGACCAGGAAGAAGAAAGATGAGGAACCATCATCCAATGCTTTCGTAGAGAAGATACAGAGCGGGGGAGGGGGGAATCAAATAAGAAGAAGAAGAAGAAGAAGGAGAATTACATTATACAAAACCAAGAAAGAAAGCATCAGTCTGCTGCTCAAAGCAAAGGGCAGCTAGCCTAGCCTAGTTATATGCTAAAATTTAATTTGCATCACTAAAAATAAGATGCTAAGGTCGCCATGCCATGCAATTAGAGGTGGCAAGTGAGATCCAAATCCATTTATTCAATCCAATCCATTTAAAATGGATCCAAATCCATTTAAGTTGATCCAAATCCATTATATCCATATCCATTTGATCCATGGATTGGTGAATTGGATTCATGGATTAATGGATTGATCCACCAATCCATTAACATATATTATTTTCTTTATTCATTTTATAATATATATTCTAATATGAAAAAAAAACCCTGCTCTCCATTAGAGAGAGAGGTGAGGAGAGAGGTGAGGTATTTTTTGCCTGGGTGAAAGACACGCTCCGATAAACTAGGGGGCGATTAGAGTTGCAGGCTTGTGCGAGCTAGGGTTTTTCCAAGCTCATGTCGGCGGAGGTCTCGCCGCCGACAGGAGGTGGCCCGGGAAGGCCTCTGCAGCAAGACGCTGGCGCGGGGCAGCGTCGACCACCGACAGAATCATCCTCCCCAAACCCCAAAGGGGATAAGGAGGCCCAGCACACCAAGAAAAAGGCGAAGCAATCGATGGAACATCCGAGCGTAGGGATTACAGTCGACGAGGCCATGCCGGAGGTTAACACTGAGGACACCATATCGGGCAGAAGCCCGAGACCAACGGCTTGGGCGCAGAATATGGGTGCAGCAAGGAAACTGTTTGGTGACAGCCACCGGATGGACGAGTGGTACACAGCGGAGTCGGACTCAGAAGACATCGCTGCAGCTATTCGCGAGGACGGACAAGAGGCAACCTTTGACGGGGAGGAGGATCCCAAGTGCCCCCCGATCCAATTCTCGGCTGCTGAGGAGCGGCTATTTTGCAGGGACCTCCGATCTGCTTTGGTGGTCAAAGCTCTTGGCCGTTCAGTGTCATATACCGCCATGTCTCTCCGACTTAATACCATCTGGGCGAAGGCGGGGGGTATCCAAGTTACCTCGATGAAGAAAGGCTATTTCCTGATCCGCTTCACAAGTGGTCTCGACTATGAGCGCGCCATCACCGGTGGACCATGGATGATTGGACCGAGCTATCTCACAGTCCATATGTGGGATAAATATTTCAACCCGTATGAACACGAGATATCATCCACGGTGGTTTGGGCGCGTCTCCTGGAACTCCCAATTCAGTACTTCCATCAAGAAGCGGTGATGAAAATTGGGCGTCGCATGGGTAAACCGATACGCATAGATGCCGCCACACGTACAAAAGCTCGAAGTGACTATGCTAGAGTGTGTGTGCAAGTCGATCTCACCAAGCCCCTCCTATCGCAATTTACGATCAACGGGAAAAAATATTTCATCCAATACGAGGGTTTGGATAAGATTTGCCTGAGCTGTGGCACGTACTCAGAGCTAGGTGCATGCCCATGCACGAAGACCTCAACTCCGATGGAAGATGACAGCCACGTGGGGGTGAACCAGACGCCAGTGGACGAACCGCAACGGGATGCTCTGTACGGGGACTGGATGATAGCGAAACGGAAACCGCGACAGCCTAACAGGGAGCAATCTACCCGCACCCATAAAGAGGGAGGCCACCTGCCGCTGGGAAAAGGGCAGTCTCGCAATCCAGTCCAGGGGTCCCGTTTCGACGTGCTGCGAGGAGACGACATGCAGGAGAACTCGGTGGATCAACCAGCTCCTGTTGGCGGGGTAGCACTAGAGGGGGAAATACCCAACACCCACGTTAAGCTCAAAAACAAATCGAAGACTTCTGACGTCGGGACCAAACATGCGGCTCCCATGCAGCCAATCCCACTCGAGAGGGTTTCGTCGCACCGCGGGCCTAGCATTGAGGATCAACTGCCGAAGACACCACAAAGCGCCACTCTAAATGCTTCACCAACTGCGGATGAATCGGATACAACCACGACTCCCCTTCCAGCCGCCCTAATCTCCGAGGTCCGCAAAGTACACTCTGCTCCGCCACCTGTAAAGACCAGATTGGGGGACGAGCAACCGGACCATAACTTGGCGAAGGAGCCACCTGATGACAATGGTATCCCTAAGGGCCCCCGCAAGGCCCATAGTGGTGAAACGAGGATTGTCTCGACGACGAGCAGTGACGGGATCAACCCGTCGGCGAAATAACCCCCAGGGAGTCCCTTTCCTTTACTCCATCTTTATGGATTGCAAAATTTTTGCTTGGAACTGTAGGGGTGCAGGTAGTAGGGGTTTTTTACGTGCGTTCCATGAGTACCGCAGGAGGTTCCGCCCTCACATTGTGATAATCGTAGAACCTCGTATTAGTGGGGCTCGGGCCCTTGATGTGATTAGGGACATGGGTTATGATAGTAATCTCGTAGTTGATGCTGTTCAGTTTTCGGGAGGGATTTGGGTTGTTTGGAATGCTAGTGAATTCACCATTACTGAAATTGTCTCCCACCCCCAATGTATCCAAATGCAGGTCCAAACTGCGAACTCTCAGGAGGCGCCATGGCAACTTTCAGCAATTTATGGCCATCCGGCTCCTGTTCAGCGGCGAGCATTGTGGGAGCATCTGCGGACGCTTGCGGATGATATTGAGGGCCCCTGGATCCTGACGGGGGACTTCAACGCCATTCTCCACCCGTCCGAGAAACTGGGGGGTGCAAGCTTTGATTCAGCTCGGATTCGGGAATTCCAGGACACAGCACATGATATCGGCCTCCATGACTTGGGATTCTCAGGACCCCCGTTCACCTGGTTCAGATCCGGATTGCGAGAACGCCTCGACCGCAGTTTGGCTAATACTAGCTGGACCCTTGCGTTCCCGGAGACCGCCATCAGGCATCTTCCTCGGCTCAAGAAATCGGACCACCGACCTGTGTTAACCATGCTGTCTTCGTATGCCCGGCCGGCGGGGCCTAAACCTTTCAAATTCCTCGCGGCATGGCTCGCGCACGACGGCTTCAGACCAATGGCGGACGCTGCATGGGCTAAGGGAACGCGTTTCTCTGAGTCTGCCTCAGCCTTTGCCCAGGATGCGGCGGTTTGGAACAGGCAAGTGTTTGGTCACATATTGAGGAAGAAGGATAAACTGATTCGCCGCCTTGAGCAGCTGGAGCTGGTGCCTCCGAATCAAAGGAATGAATCCCAAATTGGCCAGGTCCAGGAGGAACTCGAGATTATCCTCTTCCAAGAGGAATTGCTATGGCTTCAAAAATCAAGAACTGAGTGGATCAAGGCAGGAGACCAGAACACTTCGTACTTCCACGCTAAAACACTTCGGCGAAGAAAAAAGAACCGGGTCACCATGCTGAAAAACGAGGTAGGGGAGTGGATCGAAGACCCGGCTGCTTTACTGGATATGGCGATGATCTTTTTCCAGACCCTCTACACGGATGAGGGTGGGGATCTCCCGACCATGGAAGCCTATTTTCCCCTGATCGAGGCCTCGAGATGGGCTGTTCTCAATGATCCCTTGAATTCTACGGAAATTCACGCAGCTATCCGCTTGATGGGGGCTCTCAAAGCGCCGGGGAGGGATGGCCTTAACCTAATGTTCTTTCAACGATGTTGGGAGACAGTGGGGTCTTCGCTGGTCCAGTTGGCTATGGAGTGCTGGAACCAGCCAGAGAAAATCCAAGAAGTTAACTCGACGGTTCTGTTCCTCGTCCCCAAAATCCAGAACCCGGTGACTATTGACCAATTCTGTCCTATCAGCCTGTGCAACGTGGCCTACAAAGCTATAACGAAATGCCTGGCTGAACGGTTGAAGCACCTGATGCCGGACCTGGTTCATGAGACCCAGACTAGTTTCGTTCCTGGCAGACATATTACAGATAATATTTGTATTCTGCAGGAGGTAGTTCACTCCATGAGAGCTCGTAAAGGACGTCGAGGGTGGATGGTTTTAAAGGTGGACCTGGCGAAAGCCTACGACAGGATCAGATGGGGATTTGTGCGCGATACTTTGATTGCTACAGGGGCCCCGGAAGGCTTTGTCAACCTCACGATGGCCTGTATCACTTCCTCGAGAATGCAAATACAATGGAACAGAGGTCTAACGGAGGAGTTCCAGCCATCCAGAGGCCTTAGACAGGGATGCCCTCTCTCTCCCTATCTCTTCACCCTTTGTATGGAACGTTTGGGCCACCTAATTGTTGATTCGGTGAGAGCAGGCCGCTGGCAGCCCATAAAGCTGACCAATAACGGCCCCTCGTTATCCCACCTCTTCTTTGCAGATGACCTCATCCTGTTCAGCGAAGCCAACACCACCCAGGCTCAGGAGATTTTGAATTGTTTTGACAGGTTTGGAGCTTCATCGGGGCAGCAGATCAGCCGGCCCAAATCCCGAGTCTTCTTCTCGGCCAACGTGACTGCGGACCACCAGAAGAGCATCAGCGAGGATTTGGGCATCCCGGAGACGCAGAACCTTGGCCGATATCTGGGTGTTCCGATGATACATGACAGAGTTTCCAAAGCCACGTTCACGGAACTCATCGATAAGATTGACGCTAGACTTGCGGGTTGGTCAGCGTCTACCATGTCGCTGGCAGCGCGAATAACTCTTGCAAAATCGGTGCTATCAGCCTTGCCAGCCTATACGATGCAGACAACTTTCCTCCCTGCTAATGTCCGGGACTACATCGACAAGAAGATCCGGGGTTTTGTGTGGGGGAGCTCTGACCAGGGACGGAAAGTCCACCTGGTTGACTGGGAGACGGTTTGCAGATCCACGGAAGAGGGCGGGCTGGGTCTCAGGGAGGCAACAAGGATGAACGAAGCTTTCATGTTGAAAATTCTGTGGCGGTTGATGACGAATCCGGACGAGCTCTGGGCGCGTGTCATTCTTGCCAAATATTGTCGGAGCACCAATGAGGGCACTTGCTTCAAGACCAGTGGGCGCATTTCTAACCTCTGGAGGGGTGTCTTGCGCGTCCACCATCTGCTGGAACCTGCGTCGGCCTGGAATATCCGAAGTGGCAGGGTGGCACGCTTCTGGAGGGACCGCTGGGTGGACGACTCCACCGTTCTCAAGGACTACGCTCCGGACCTCCCGCCGGAGTTGCAGGATGCTCCTGTGGCTGAGTTCGTCCTTAACGGTGAGTGGAACGTTCCATTTCTTACTGCTTTCTTACCGAGCTCTGTTGTTTCGCAGGTGCTTCTCCACCCGGTGCCGACGGAAAGTGAACCAGATGTGCGCTATTGGAGGCTGACGCAGAACGGCAAGTGCTCTTTCAGAACGGCCTACGACGTGACGGATGATGTAGCAAGCCCTACCACGAGTCAACCCATTTAGCGATCGATTTGGAAGACCCCGACGATGCAGAGGATCCGTACCTTCCTCTGGCTGCTCAACCACAACCGCCTGCTGACAAATGCCGAAAGGGCCCGTCGCCATCTTACAACGGACGTCAACTGCAAGATTTGCGGCGGGGGACCGGAGACTGCAATCCACGTCGTGAGAGACTGCCCATTCGCGCGGGCCACGTGGGCGGGGATCCTCGAAGATGAACCAGACAACCATTTCTTTGAATCCGATATCCACAGGTGGTCATTGCATTATTTGTCTGATCGGAGTAAAGTCATTGATAGTACGCTTTTTGCAGGCACGTGCTGGCTGCTGTGGAAGAATCGGAACGATCACCTTTTTCGAAGCGAGTTAAAAACCCATGAGCAGCTCCAGTTTTCCACCAAACAGCTAAGGCTTCGGATCGCCACAGCCTTTGATAAGGAGAGCAGTTTGTTCGGAGCCGGGGGACTCCGACAATGGCGGGAAATTAACTGGAAACCACCGCCGAGTGGTTGGGCATGTGTCAACACTGACGGCTCAGCCACCCACTCTCCTGCGAGTACGAGCTGCGGAGGCATCGTGAGGGGAGACGATGGTCGTTTTATCAGAGCATTCACAGCGAACCTAGGAGGGGGTTCGATCACTCGCGCCGAGCTGGCTGGGATTGCTTATGGGTTGAGATTCGCTTGGGAAGAGGGGATCAGGAAGGTTATTCTACAGACAGATTCCTGCACTGCCCGGACTTTGATCGAGAAAGCAACTCCGCAACACCCTCACTACTCCTGCGTAGCAGAGATCCGCCATTGGCTAGCTCGGCCTTGGCTTGTAAGGATTGAGCATGTCTACAGAGAAGCGAACTTCGTGGCGGACCACCTCGCTTCCATTGGCCATTCTGTTCCCATTGGGGTTCACGGGATTCAAAACCCGAGTAGTACTCTTCTGTACTGGTTGTATTTTGATACTCTGGGGACTCATACTCCCCGCCTCGTTATCCCTTAATTCAGGTTAGGGCGCCCTGTATTTCACCAAAAAAAAAAAAAACCCTGCTCTTTACTGTCGAGTGTCGACTCCTCCATCCTACTCCAAATATTCTCTCCGATCCCACAAAAAAAAAAAAAAAATCTCCGACGAGGCGACGACGAAGAGCAGAGCCGGCGATCTCTCTACCGCCTGCTCTCCATGTCCAAATCCACCCTGCCGCCGTCCCAATCGACCTCTCCACCGTCTGCTCTCCCCTGAGTCTGAATCGGATCCAACGTCGCAACTCCCATCCTGCGAATCGACCCTCCTCCAGCGCCGGTGAAATCTCCGCCGCCTGGCTCTTCTAGAACCCATCCTGCGAATCGAACTCTCCACCAGCGCCGACGAAATCTCCACTGCTTGGCTCTTCCATTTGAGAACCCATCTGCGAAATCGACCCTTCTGCAGATAATGAAGATGGCTCCTCCTGCGGATCGAGATGACTATGGAGTTTGGCCTTGATTTTCCCTCCAAGCGCCTGAGAGGTGAGGCTCCTCTGTACTATAGGTTTCAATTGCTTCTTTAGTTGCTTCCTTGTGCTGCCTTACATGAGAATCTGAGGAATATATAACCTGGTTCCCGAGAGATCATCATCTGAGGAATATTTGTGGGTAGTAGTTGGATCTTTGGTTATTGCTTCCTCTCCTTTTACTAATCTTTCTCCAAGCCTATTCAAATCTTTCTCCTTGCACCCTAATCATCTTCTCCAGATTTAAGATCAGGGTAGGTCGAGATAATGTTTTCTAAGGACAATTATATTTCTAGGTTATACATCTCGGGAACCAGGATTTGTTTTAGGTTATATATCAGTGTGCTCAAGGTTGTTTGCACTCTGTACTGTGCCACTGTGGATTCTTTCACATAATTACATTGGTTTTGATCAGTTATCTGGGACCGGATGGAGTAGCTTGCTTTGCTGCATACGTGTTTGGTGGAAACTATTCCTTGATTATGTAATCATAATATATGATTGGATGGTTCTAAATCACCTGTTAGCTCATTTTTATTAGCTACTGTAGCTGCAGTCTTGCCTTGACTATAGATGTTATTAGGGAGTGGGTGAAGTACGTCAAGGGGTCTGAATCTCGAAGGATAGTTTTTGAAGATTGTGCAAAGAGAAGTAATTGTCTGAGTTCTAAAGTAGAGTTCTAAGCAACTTGCGAAGCTCTCTTTTGCCTGAAAATGCCGAAGCTTTGATTACCACACGCAATTGGCTATATGGATTTCCAAGTAAGCTAATTAAGGATATGGTTTATTTGATAATAACTTAATCTAATACAGTTTATTTAGTAACATTTGAATTGCTTGATGAAGGTGATGATCGTGATAATGGGCTCGAGGTGGAAATTTCAAAGGCGGTCGGAACATCCTCAATGACTTCTAGCTCTACTCATGTGAGAAAATTTGGGTTTTATGCATAAGTCAACGTTTGGTTCTTAATGTTCATGATGTTGGTTTGAAACTACTCGAATGTCATGTTGTTCATCCTTTTTTCTGCTGGTCCTGGACTTGTAGCATCCATATCTTAATGTCAACTTCGTTAAAAGTTCTGCAAATGTAACTGCTTTCTGATAATGCTTACATTTGAGATGATGGTCTCGGTGTCAATCATGTGCCACAAACTGGGCTCTCAAATTGGAAGCCAAAGCATCATCTGGTGATGTACTTAAATTAATCTATGGAGCATATGTCTTTTCACTTGAATTCAGCTAGGAAATTTTTGACAACATAATCAGCCAGGGCAGCCTCAGCAATCTTTCAAAGCTTCTTGGTTATGTTTAATTAGGCCGAGTCTCTCTGCCACGTCCAACATGGAGGTGCAGAAAATGTCGTGGACGAAGCCGGCGAGTCGACCCCCGGAACGAGTGAGCTCGGCGGAGACGGCTTCTGTGACTCGGGGCTTTTGAGATTGGATGAGAGCGAGAACGCTGCCGGCTGGAGCTGATGGGTCGTCGTCGTTAGCGAGGTGGAGTAGCTTGACACGGGGGTTCAAATCGGAGTCGGGGGCAGCGAGTGAGTCGGTGTAGCGGGTGACGGCGGCGGCGGTGGAGAGGGAGGTGATGACGGGGATGGAGACGACGAGGGTGGAGTGGCGGTGGACAAGAAGCTTGGCGAGCTCCACCATGGACACGAGGTGGCCAACGCTAGGGAATGGGATGAACACCAGCTGTTGCGGTTGCTCTGCCATTTTTCTTTTATGAATGAATTAGTCCTTTCCGGCAGCGCGGCCTTAAAAAACTGTGGTTTGGGGTTCGGATAAGAGATATGGAAGGCGGAGACTTGGGGATGGATTGGTGGAAGGAAGTGAATGGACGATTTATTGTTGTGGATCCACGGATCCATTGGATCCGATCCACGAATCCACGAATCCATTGGATCCGATCCACGAATCCACGAATCCACGAATCCGATCCACGAACCCACGAATCCGATCCAATTGCCACCTCTACATGCAATGCATGTTTGATTAATTACCTTGGATGTGAAATTGCAAGATCGACTAGGCCGGCGCCATCAGCGATCACCCGTCGTAAGAAAAGAAAAGAAAAGAAAAGAAAATTTGTCAACCTAACCTAGCTAAACTAACTGATGACACATGACAAGTTGGTGCATGGAACACTGCTCCAGCTCCGGACACGATGAGGTAACCAAAACGCTTCGATCTCCGTAGTCGTATATGTACAGGTTGCTGTCACGAGGGTATACCAGGTAAATAGCGTTTCTTTTGAATCCGAATTTGCTAGCGCAGCATCCAAATCACCCCGACCCAGTGAATTGAAACGACCTGGACGACGACGAGGCGAAAAAGAATGCCCTGTCTCCAAGATCCTCTACCTCTTCCATTCGCATCTTCTTGACATCGATCTTGAACACCCTTACATCCAGGATAACGTGTGCATTTCGATTCGTATGGAAATCCCCGGCGAAATCCTGTTGAAAAAATAGAAGCTCGCCGCGGGATTCAACCAGATAACGCTTAATGTCGCCACACCCCTTGGGCGAACGTTGCATAACTTGAATCTGTTGGATCACTTTGACCCCATAATTTGGCCGCAACTTGATCTCCAGAAATCGGAGTTTGCTTCCTGGTGGTGTTCCAATCCCGTAAATCCTGCCTCGGTAGGAAGCAGCTACAAACACTTGACCTCCTCCCTCGCTAATTGTCCACTCCTTATCACCAACTCCGCACAACATTGCCACACCCTCGCCGGCAGCTTCCCCAAAGATCATGACCATGAATTCGGAACCGTCGGCGGGCATGTGGAGCAAACAACATCGATAGACCAAGTTCTCACGCTTTTCCCACGTCGGCAGCGAATCGAAAGCCATAGACTTTGTGTTGAACACAACACAATCTCGCGCCTCGAGATCCATCAGCAGCACCCGCCCATAACCGTGGCCATACACTCTTTTCCCTCTCAATCTTTCTTCCATACTACTAGTCTCCTTTGAACGGTACACGCCGGTGGCCAAATCCACGAATGTGATCTTTTCTTCTGCTTTCTCTCCGTGAGACATAACAATCCACGGTCGCTCCGTCTCTGCCTCTGCTGCTTCTTGTTCCACCAAACCTTCTTCTTCTTCTTCAGTGATTTCTTCTCCAGCTCTGCCTTCTTCTTCTTCTTCTTCTTCTTCTTCAAGTGACGGTGCATCGGGGTTCTGTAGTGACCAGTCAAGCTGGCGGTCAGAAAGGTAGTGGAAGTTGGGAATCCAAGTGCAATTTAGCGGAATGTTTGTGCCAAGCAAGTCATGTGAAGCATACTTATTATTGCCCATCAAGTGGAACTTGGCGGTTGAGAGGGAGTAGAACACATTGTGCCTTTGATGGAATCTTGCAAAATGAATGGTGTTGTCCAACCAGGGGACTCCTAGCTCCTTGCACGACATGGTTATACTTGACGGGGAGCTCAAGAAAACCACTTGACCTTTCAGGTGAGGAGCACACTGCCACACCTTGAGATTCTCGTTAAACTTGAGAACCCTAATCGATTCACACCTCGATCCAACCACAACGGCGATCAAATGTTCTCCCCCTCCGACGAGGTAGCTCTTGCTGTGATCGTCGGCCGAGAAAGCCCAATGTTTGGTGTGGAGCAGAGTCCACGACATAGAAAGCTCTTCCTTGTCTTTCTTCTATTGCTTCTTGATTGGTGGTTTGAGAACTCCTAACCTTCCGTTTTGGTCAAGGCAATAGAAAGCTCCCCTGTAGAAAACAGGGGCTGAAACAGAGCTAGCCCACTCGAAATCCTCCTGGCAAGGGATGGGTCTCGACCACTTGCAACGATTATTGGTCCGGAGTTTGAACCGGCCTATTCTGTCACTACCACCATTGCGATTATCACTTGTAGGAGCGACTAACAACGAACGTTTCTTGCGGTACAAGTAGTTGCTTTGTCTCGGCACCATCGTCTTGTTAGGGAATTCTTTGTATGTCCAACGGGTTTCCCCCCGTCGGATGAAAGCGGTGGAAACAGAGCAGGAACCGAGGTACATTTCGGTGAGCGCAAAGACAACACAATCCGGAGACGTAGGCTGCGCCGAGAAGCTCAACCGGTTGCACTGCCAGCAACAGCCGGGCAAGTAGATGGTGTTTCCGGTGGAGGGATGGAAGAAGAAGAACAAGTCCTCTTTCGACAAGAGCAACCAGCCATAGTTGGAGCAGTGAATGAACGCGTCATCGAGGTCCGACGGGGCGTCGGCCGAGTACCACCCGTTGGCGAGCGGAGAGTAGAGCTGGTAGAGGGAGGATGGCTCGTCGGCCGGGCTCTTACAGAACCGCAACATGAAGGGGTATTTGGAAGCAGCAGCCTCCATTCGCTGCTTTGTAATTTTGGGGACTCGGCGGATTGGCGCCGCGGAAGCCATCTTTGATGAAGAATTTTTGTTATCAGCTTGTTGCGGTGCTTGTCTTGTTGCTGTGTTACTATATATATAGTAGAAGTTGCTCCTTTCTTTCATGTATGTATAGGGAATCCTTATCTTTTTTTTTTTTTGGTAGAAAAGGGAATCCTTATCTGCAGAGGAGACTGGTTTTCCTTTCTTTATGGCTTCTGGAATTCTTGGGAGGGGAGGTCATTATTTATTTTACTTTATTAAATTTTTTCCATTAATTTATTATATCATGTCACTTAAGTTTGTTGACTCATTTATGGTTTAATCGACAGATGGGATCAAAATGAAATAATAATTATGTTAAAAGTATAAATACTTAAGGTTTTGTAAAATTTGGGACAAAGCAAATAAGTAATCCATTCGAATAAAAAACATAATATCTAACTCTTTATTTCTAATATAAGAACGGAAAATCATTAAACTGACAAAAAAAGTGAATAGTTAATAACTATCTAACCTGTTCGGCCAACCAGAAAAACGAAAAACGATTGGTCAGCCCTCCGGACCGTTTGAGTTCGACCTTTCACCTCCTTGCCTCTCAGCGCCTTGAAACTCCATTGGTTTGTGCCCGAACTCTCGGTGACCGTCCAGTTATTATCCTCATGCGACAATTCTGCTTTCTTTGCATTCAAAGCTTCGCTGATCTCATTCCATGGGCTCTTCGTTGCTTCTCTTTTTTCCACAAAGTATTAACAATGGAAGGTGAGATGATATTCGTGGATGATAAATGAGATTGTTGTGTTAGCAAAGAACCAAATTAGCAATCAGTACATTGACAAGATTGGACTTTACTGACCCAGCACTGCTAGGGTTCACAGCATGGACTTCCAGAAGTGAAGTAAAATCCATCTGGAGAGGTAAAGCTTTAACAGTTAATTCGTCTGATAGTAGAAGAGGGGAAGTAGAAAATTGTTGTTCTGTGAGTTGTTTTACTGACCTCTAGAGAGCCATCTTCTTGTAAAGAACAAGTTTCTGGAAGCACCTCGGATTCTTCATCATCTAGTTTGTTCTCGGGGATCAAAGGATACTTCGGAACTGCAACCAGCTTGATCTTATTGGTTTGAGGGTCGAACTTTGATATCTTCCCTACCTACAGATGACATAAAAGGAAACTCATTCTACGCTCTTCAAGAGAATATTGTGGAAGAAATACAAGTGAAGAAAGAACAGTACTAAGTATGGTGAGAGCTCAGGTGTCCATGACGACGATAGCTGAATGAGACGATAAGCAATAACGTCCCTTTCCTGCAATATTTGTCAGAACCTGCTTGACTCTTCAGTCCATACCAAATAAGACTGAAACAGAGGTCAAAATAATTAAGCATAAGAACAAACTTAACCTTGGGTGAATTCATATAAGCTGCAAGCTTATCGAAGTCGATCTGATTATAAACAGAAGTTGGTTCTTCCACTGGTTGTGTTTCAGAAGGTTTCTGGCCAGAATTGGCATAGTGATTCCATGTTTCAGGGTTTGTGGCTGGAATTTGTGTTATCCTTCCATCTTTCAGAAGGTTTATGACTGGAATTTCCATTATCATTCAATTTCAATGATGCACTTTTCTGTGATCCCCATTTTTTACCTTTCTTTTTGCTCATCCCATCCCACTGAGAAGTTTCCTGAAGCAGCATCCAGAAAAGAGAAAACATAAGAGTTCAGCATCCAAAGCTGAAGACTTTAATTAACACTGAAATTACTACACTATACAATTGACAATCCCCAGAATGAAACCTACCAGCAGGGTTTGATTTTGTTGGACAGGCTGATCAGCACTACCTGGAACAAGAACCGTTTTAAGAAATAAAGGTGAAGTGTTTTGGTTGAATCCATGTTCATTGCTCAGTTAGATGGTTGTTGGTTTTTGCTGATGGTTATTGGGAATTTGTCATATTCTTTTGTAGAATGCTCCTTACTTGTGTAAAAAGGATGGCATTGTGCTCCATTGTCCACATGTAAGCTGCATTGTTCAGAGGATGATACTTTTGGGAATTGTCTGTTACATGGTCTTGATTGAATTTCAGTTCATGACTTCTTTTTTCAGGTCAAGGAGCCTTCTTCCCTCTGGGAAAATCCATTATCTGCAACAACTTTTTGGAAGCCTTGCGCTGAGCGTCGCGATGGTGGAAATTCAGATGATTTGTGTTTCTTCTAACTATGTTTTTGGGTTTATTAGATTGGTCTTATTGGATAAGATGAGGTATGTCATCAAGTTAGGATCTTTGGTGCAGAATTCTTGTTATTGGGGAAAGAAAGATTCTGTTGTTGTGCCATATATGTTATATAGGATAGCTCTCGGATCTAATATGTGACTTGTTTGCCGTCGAAAGAGCTGGTAGCTGAATGATTGTGCAATTTCTGTAACTTGTTTAGTATTCTGTATGTGAAAATGTAGATGGGTTTGTGCTAACTGTTGTCAGATGTCTATTGATTGGCCTTTTGGGGGTGTTGGATCCTTGGTAGTTTCTTTTTCTATTTGTTGACTTCGGTACTCCACTTTTCTTTGCAGATGTTCCTCGTGAGAATGAAACAAATGATTATATCTTCATCCATGCTGAGGGGGGCTTGAACCAGCAAAGAATCGCTGTACAATTCTACTCTTTGAAATAAATAATTATTCAACTTCTTAATTTCTAGATAACATGAACTTGATACTTGCTAATTTTTTATTTGTCAATACCTTTTCAAAAATCGTTATCTTTTCTTGAGGAAATTTGTGTTATCATTTCAGTCGTGTTCTTTCTCCATTAAGATCTTACTTTTTATTTTTTCTGTCCCTTCATGTTAGACCAAGCTGATTTCAGATTGTTCATGTATTTGCATGATGCTTCAATGCACGTGAGCTTGTGAGATACCGTCTTTGGTAGTCAAGCTGGTTGGTTTAGTAACTATGATTTAGAATGCAGTTCCTTTGACAAGTTTGAAAACCTATGATGATTATTATATCCAACAGCTTCAGAATGGCTAAATTGAACATTGATATTGTTTGGTGCAGATATGCAATGCAGTGGTTGTAGCAAAAATAATGAATGCCACTCTGATTTTGCCTGTCTTGAAGCAGGACCAGATTTGGAAAGACCAGACATAAGTTTTGAGGACCATATTCTCATGCATTTTTTTGATCAAATGGATGCAGTCACACCCTACTTTTCATTCAAAACCACCTGGGACTCAGAGAGCCCCTGAACATCGTACATAAGCCAGTTACAAAGCATAACAGAAAACAAATGTGACCCTAGGAGTGCTAATGCCCCCGACTAGCAAGAAAGTCTGCGCACTTATTACCCTCCCTGTAGATATGGGTGACAGAGACGTCCCACTCTTTTTGAAGCAGCTCTTGAGCTCTATCCAAAATGGCTTCATGGTGATGCTCCCCAGATTCAGTACTCTGTAGCAGCTGAAGCACATTCAGATTCCAACTCCAGCCTAACGTGGCGGAACCCAGCATCCCAAGCTAACTGCAGTCCTTCTACAGCGCCCCTCAACTCCGCTCGGGTGATAGAGCAAACACCCAGGTTCATTGTAAATGCCAGAAGGCATCTACCAGTGTTATCTCTTATCAGGCCACCAGCTGCGGCGTGACCTGTGTCAGTATGAACGGGGCCGTCCGTGTTGAGGGTAACCCACGCTGGAGGTGGCGGCTTCCATGAGATATCCACCTCCGTTCTTACGAGCGGATTAGGCTGATGGACGAGCCTATCCTTGTCCAAGGCCTGCCTCACGACAGTTATCCAAGCCTGGACGCGCTGTAGAAAGGCTTCAGTCGTAACGATCTTGCCTGAGAAGACTCGATCATTTTTGGTCTTCCAGAGAGACCAACAGGTAAGCCCGAACTCTAGGCCAGTGTCCATATTCTCATGCATGGAATGTGCCCAAATAAATTATTTTGATACTCTTATCAAATACGCAACCTCTTCTCATGCCAATCATTCCAAAATGCTGAATTGTAAGATTGGTGATCCTTATAACACAGTCTCCTCAAACTATCTGCAGGAAATTCGAAGATATTTTTGACGTTGATCATTTCATTGATTATCTGATGGATGACGTTAGAATTGTTCGTGATATACCTAAGTGGTTTACTGACAAAAATGAGTTGTTCACAAGCATAAGGTATGTGACAATTGAGGAATGCCTACTGTGTTGAATGACTAGATTGATGAATTTGGGACTGGTAAATGTGGCTTTTCATTTATAGGCGGACAGTGAAGAATATTCCAAAATATGGACCAGCCCAGTTCTACATTGACAATGTGTTGCCTCTGATCAAGGAGAAGAAAATAATGTCACTTAAGCCATTTGTTGATCGACTTGGGTAAGAAATAATTAATTTCCAAGTCAAACTGCTCTTATAGAACCCTCTCCTTAAATTCAACTCTAATTTGGGTGCTTTGACATCTTTCTCCTTGCTTCTAGGTATGACAACGTGCCTCAAGAAATCAACAAGTTGAGGTGCAGGGTTAATTATCATGCGCTGAAATTCCTCTCACATATAGAGCAGATGGCTGACCTCTTAGTTTCACGGATGACGAACCGCACAGGAAGTCCAAATCATTATATGTACGTCAATGTTGGTTTCTTATACGTTTGTTGAAGTGAACTCTGGTAGAAAATTTGCATCTGTCTAATCAAAATTTATGTGCTTTTGATTTGCTTGTAAAACACAGGGCTCTCCATCTTAGATTTGAGAAAGGGATGGTCGGTTTGTCCTTCTGTGATTTCGTGGGGACGAGTGATGAGAAAGTTAAGATGGCTGAGCACAGGAAGAAAGAATGGCCTAGGCATTTTAAGGTGCGTTGTAATCATTCTCCACCATCTGTCCCATTTTTTTTGGGAAACCCTGGAAGATCATCGAATTATAATCAATGGTTGCATATTGCAGAATGGTTCCCATTTATGGAAACTGGCTCTTCAGACGAGAAAGGAAGGAAGGTGCCCTCTTGAACCAGGCGAAGTTGCAGTGATACTTCGGGCAATGGGTTATTGACACGCTAAAACACAACACCTAACAATGGCCAAGTGTAACCAATGAAAGGGACTGCAGTATAGTGGCACAAGTAATAAATATCGAATCCACGGGTCTCTAGAGTTACTATTACTCAGCTTCAGTTCATTATCTAGCAAACTAAATTAAGGATTGATTAACTAAACTACTCTACTAACTAAACTAAGTAAAACTACTAATTACAGTTTGGGAACTCACTTAGGTATGATTCCCCCTAGCTCCTCAATTAGGTCCAAGTTGTAATTCCTTTTGGTTGTTTTACTGTTGATTAAACTGCGGAAGATCCGACAGTAGCTTGGAATCTCTTAAGCTGACCAAGCCCTCTCAGTCTAACTATCCGGCAGACGACTAGTCTTCACCGGGATAGAAAGCTAAAGCAATAAGCACAGAACTCCACTACTGGAATTGGATTCCAGTACAAAGCAGTAAACTGGCTAACTCTCGTATAGCCAATCTCCTACTACCGAATGATGAGGCTCTAACAACCTAATCAGATTCTATCTATCTTAGGTTGCAGCAGAAATCAGGAAAAGTTGATCAGACTTCAATTGACTCAATAAACATGCATCATTCGATTATAACCAAACAATATAGCATCCAAAACTTCATACAAGAAAGATTCTAACTCATGGAACTAGGGTTCCTCAAAACCTAAGTGAAGGGAAGTTACTCCATAGAGAAGAGAGACTGCAGAAATCTGATCTAGATCTTCAATCTCCATCTCCAAGCTTGATTCTCGAGCTCCAATGGCGAAGAAATCCTCCAAAATAGCTCCAAGAATGTTCCCAAGTCGCTCTCTCTCTCTAGGGTTCGTACCTTGGGTGTTTGGGAACCAAAAACCCAGCTCTCCTCTTTCCTTTGGCTGAAAATCGGGTTTTAACTAGCAATTCCCGACTCACACGGGCAGGCCGCACGGCCGTGTGGCTCACCCAGTTGCCCATGCGAGTCAAAACGCAGCGTATCGATTAGTTGAATTCCGGGCTTCTTACACGGCCAGGGTCGCACGGCCGTGCAGCTCACCTTGCACGGCCGTGTGGATTTTCTGCTCTGCCCGTGTTTGCTCTCGCACAATCCCACACGACCAAACTGGTCACTTGCACGGCCGTGCAGGTTGTGGATGTGCCCGTGCGACTTCCTTTGTGACTTGCCTCGCGCCCGATATTCGCCCAATCGACCCCGAACTCGCTCCTAAACCTTCATTCACTTGCCAGGACCTGAAATATCACAAACAAGCACAACCTAGCGTGAAATCGGTCTAAAACATGAGAAACCACATCTCAAACGGTGTAAGAACAGGGGTGAAAACATGTGTAATTAATGGTCTATCAGTTATCCCAAGGAAACTCAAATATACGTGGCTTCTGGGCAGGTCTACGGTGGTCAAAACCGAATGGCTCCACTGAGAAACATGTTCTCAAATCTGGTAAGCCTTGCCCTTATCATCTCTCAGGCACCCTAAAACCAAATTCATTCAGTTACCAGGGACCCTATGCTATGATTATGAGAATACATGGTTTTTGGTAACTTGTAGTTTCTCTTATCTGAATCTGGTAGGAAACAATGTGTTTCAGTCAGGGTTTTTTTGCGTCTAACAATACATGCAATTGTGGGTGATCCACCTTTACAATCCCTACAGAACAAACAACTTATTTTGACATCCCAACATATATTTTTTCAATCTATCTACAATAATATCATAATACATGGTTTCTGAACATTGATGTATACCATAACACAGCTACACAAATGACCCCTAACTTTTGTGTCTGCGCACTCATCAGGTAACAAAGGAGGAGCTAGCTATTAGTGACGAGTTGACCAGTTTCAGGAAGCACGTGACGAGCTTGGAAGCACTCTCCTTCCTGGTGTGCTTGAAGTCGAATGTCTTTGTCATGACCCACAGAGGCAACTTCGCGAAACTAATCATCGGAGCACGTAGGTACATGGGCCACCGTTAGAAGTCCATAAAACCAGACAAAGGGATCATGTCAAAATCCTTTGGGGATCCATACATGGGGTGGGCGGCGTTTGTGGAGTACGTGGTGGTGACTCATCAGATGAGAATTGGGTTGCCGGAGGAGACGTTCCCCAACTATGATCTTTGGGAGAATCCTCTGAATCCATGCATGTGTAAAGCTTAGACAACATATTATTCCTTCCCGAAAGCCTGATTTTGCTTGAAAGGTTGAAGGCCGTGAGCGATTGAACACGAAAGAGTAAGTGCATATAAGAAGACGAGGAGATGAAGGAGACTGCATCATCTCCATCTATTGTAAGTTCATTTGGTCTCAGTTGCTGTGCCTCCTAATAGTATTCTTTTACAGGCGCCTATTCTCTTATAGGCAGGGCGCCTCCAATGTAAGGTCGAGCCAAGAAATTGGATGGATTTAACAAAGTTGATGAAACATAATGTATCCAAAAACCAAACAAGACTAGAGACAGATATAACATATTTTTACCTTCAATTTCATGTACTAACCTATCACACTGTAAATTATAGATTTCCCAACTTTCCCCATCTCCAATATGAACTTCAGTTTCCTCATGTTAGTACTAATCACTTCCACACTGTGGTATGATCAAGAGAGACAGTTGAAGGATTTAATTACAAAATCATATCGATTTGGTATATGGTACACTTCAACTAATGTATTTAATTTAACCGATGTGGTAGGAAGGACATATCTGTTTACCGCGGGCAGTTATATAAGTTGGGTTGGCAGAAGAAAAGAAAGAGCAGTACGCTATGTGGACAAAAACTAATGAGGTTTATCCTCAGCACAACCCAACAAAATGAGATGCGGAAACTTAGCAAAATCCATTAATTAAAAGTATAATAGCTCAAAACAACTAACACTATACATCTAGACTGTTTTTACTATTCATACAGACTCAAATTCCCTATTCACTGTGTTCTAATTGGTTGTTGGGCTGTGGTGGGTCCTTTGTGTCCTCCTGCCGTCGTTTGTGGTGTGTTCTTCGTTACTTTTGTTAGGAGTGATCTGAAGCACGTTGGGTGAAAAATCGCGTTGGTCACAAGGATGTTTTTGTGGAGCAGATGATTTTTGGATGCTGGAGGGATGCTCTGGTTATGGGGATTTCAGTCATTGTGTTGTCCCATCGATGACTTTTAGTGTGACGCTTTTCACCTTGCAGAGGGAAGAGAGGGAGCGTATTAGCGAAGAGGGAGGTCTGGTCATGATTGTTTTCGCTGCAGAGATGGGGAGAGGGACTGAAGGTTGGTCGAGTAGCGCTGAAAGGCTAGGGTTTCAGACTCTCACATGGGAGTTTGATGGATACTGTATGCATCCAATTTTTTTATTTTGATTTTCCTTTTTGACTCTTCGGTTTCTAAGGCGTTATTGGGAGCGATGCTGGAGAGAGGGACAAAGAGGGAATTGGGAGAAGCAGTGACATTATTTGGGTTTGTGGCAGGTTAGAGGCCACATATTTCTGTTATTTTGGAGAATGTTTGATTTTTCTTGCTCTTTGATTTCTTTTTTTTTTGGGATGTGAGAGATGATCAATGGTCTTGATGACCTCTTTGTATCTGTTTCATTCCCGACAATTTGTTTGGATTGGCTCATTTCCTCTTTCTCCCGCACTCCTTCAGTTCTTCTATAGCGAATCTCGAGCGATCAATTTCACCATCTCTGTTTGGGAGATAAGCGAATCTCGAGCGATCAGCTGGCCGATTTAAGAGGGCAAGGGAGAGGACTCGAAGAATCCCCAGATCCACAAGTTCTATTCCAGTTTCTTCCTTGTCTCAGTCGTTCGTGATTTTTGCTGTCTTTTTTTTTCGGTTCAGTCATAGTGAGTGTTTAATGTTATTACTTCTCAGCAGAGATTTCGCTACGTTGGCGATTGGAGATGGGTGGATATTGCTTTGCTGTAGCCAGTTCATTGATGGGCGACGGAAACTGTAGCTATACAGAGATGGGGATCGCAAAGTAAGGCAGGGAAGCCTAGAAACAAAGAGCTCCATGTGAGCTTTCTTGCGTTCTCTTCTTTGTAATCAGTGGAGCAAATAAGTTATTGACGCTAAATGAGCAATTATTTTTTGTGCGATACAATCTCATTCTCTTATCTCTACTCTGTTACTCTCTCGCACAGAACATAGATAGATGTCACTTAAGTGCCATGATCTATGAATTAGTGTTCCAACGTGAATGAGCAAATTAAATGTATATATATGTATTGAGAAGCTTTCATTGGTTTTTAAACTATGGATGACTTGCTGATTTTTACTGTTAATTTGTTTGGTTTCCTTTTATTTTATTTAAAAAATTAGTGAGACATAAATCATACATAACACAAGATTAACCATTTTCTTTTGTAGATGTATCACAAATCCCGACGCGCCCCACCACGTCAGCCTCCCTGGATTCCCCGCGAGTTCCGGTGATTAATGAATTTTTATTTATTTTTTAATGCTTCCCAGCGGTCAACGATTTCTTTTGATATCTTTCGTTCACTTTTTTTACTCTTCACCGTTTGCTAACTGCCTACTACTTGCACATGCTTGATGGTTCTATCTTTTTAAGAATTATGCTTCCACGTGTTCTTTATTTTTCTTTTCTCCCTGTCTTTAGGCTCAGTGAGAGATTTTTTTATGATAGTTAGTCAACCATAATTATAATTAGTTACTCATTCAAATAATAATAATTTTTCTAAATTATTCTTATAAATATTTGTTTACCGAATACCTAGGTAAACATTTCTATGAAAATAATTATGAGTTTTGAGTTTTTTCCACATCTGCACATAAACTTTCTATCAAACTTAGGCTATCCAATCCACATAAGCCATAGAACCTTTCCTTTCCTTGAAGATTTTCACTCATGATCATCTCGCTCATTCTTATCACCCGAAAATTTTTCTATAACATCCTTTTAAGTTTTAATCTACAATCTCGATCTAATTTTCCTCGAAATTCCTAATCCGCTACATCAGTTGGATTTCCACTCGCTAACTTACTATCGTTATAACTATAGACCGTAAGATTAGACAACGTAAGTTTCATAGATTAACCGGAGTATAAGTTTATTTTTCTTTGAATTATCATTAAGATGAATGTACCTTCCACTGTTTACTGAAATTGAGATGCATGTTTTCCCTCTATTTTTTCATGACTATATTTGACATTTTTTTATAAAAACTATCTATGTGCTTTTAGAGTATTTGTTACTTTAATAACCGGATTATACATTATATAAAACATGAAAGCTGGGTACGCTTTTCCTCCCTACTTTCTTAACACTGTTTCACTCCTTAAAGTTTTGTGAGCAACGAGAAAAAGGGCTTCTAATATACAGCTTCCCACACAATAGTACCTTCCCTGTTTCGCAGCAGTCGACCATGCCTTCCTTTGCGACATTACCCCGAAATCCGCAAGCCTTTATTTTTATGTGACCAGAAGCCATTCCCTTGCCCAACAGCGTATGTCCACTGTCAAAGAACAGAAAAGCCTCTGCCACATTGCATCATCAATTAGAGGTGGCCATGCTTTTCGTATCTCCGTCTCACCCCAAAAATCCGCAATCGCCACGCTTCAGTCATCTCCCATCCTCTGCTGGTTTGCTTCTCGATGTTGCAACCTCTGCATAACCTACTCCAACACGCCTCCTCCCATGATTTTTCTATATTGGCTCTTACTCTTTGAGTGTGGACTTCTCTCTTCTCTCCGTCGATTTTTCTTTTTTCGTCTACAACTTCAATTCAGTTCTTCATCTCTCCCTTCTTGGCTTTAATCAATCCCATACCCCAATCACTTTTATCCTTCCTCAATCTTCCGAACTCCATAGAGAGTGAGAATCCACCATTTATGATGGGGAGGAGCAACTGCGAAAGGGTGTTCTTTTCGATGTCTTCTTCTTGGAGCTTCGACTCAAACACCTTCTTGCAAATATGAAAGCAGTGCCACAATTGTGGAATCTATTTCCGGCTGGACCACTTTCTCCGGATTATGTGAGTTCCCTTTGATTCTTCTGCAATTTCTCAAATTTTCTTCATGTCTTTAATCAAAACCTTATTTTGTCCATTGTGAGATGAGGAGGAACAGGCTGTGAAGAATAATGGGAGGGGCAAAGAAAGTTGAAATCGAGCATGGGAATCAATCCCTTTCAAATAGAGTTGATCAGGTTGGAAGGCAATCATCGATTTCATCAGTGGAGGTGACCGCAAAGGATGGGATGATCCATGGGCTTAGGTATAGCTTATACAGTAATTACACAGCTATTATTGAATTGCTTTGATTATTCTTTTGGCCGCTCTTTAGATTGAAAATATGTTAAGTTCTTTTCTCATCTTTCTGATATTTGTTAGTGTAATGAACACAAGTTTGTGGCAAATGCTGAACACTGTAAAAAGAGATGGTCAAAAGAGGCCATAGTGTGGGTTGAACAGCAGTGAAGTAACTACCAGCATTTGTTTACATTGTCGAAACTCGAAACTGGAATGAATTACCTATTGGAGGGCTCCTAATGAACTGCTTTGACTTTGCTATGCTTTTCTGAAACTGTTAGAAACCTATTTCTAGGGTTCTAACGATCGAGTGATAAGATTGGGAATTGATAGATATTTAGGGATTGAAATAGAATTGGGGAAGAACAGAATTGGGGATTAGGGATTTAGAAGAGGAAATTGGGGATCGAGTAGAAGGATGGCCGACGGCCTAGGGATAGGTGACGAAGTTGAGAGAGATTAGGTAGATTAGGATTTGAGATACTTTTCTGAATAATTGTTCTTGCTTGATTATGAATAAAACGCAAAGTACATATTTATAACGAAAGATAGGAAAACCTAATACTAAACCTAATTCTACTAAAAGACTACTAACATATTTAATAAAACCTAATAATAATGATAATATAGAAACCCGTTTTCCTTAGAAAACGTGTTTCTAACATCCCATCCCCCTTGAGATCAACCTTGCCCTCAAGGTTGACCGACTTGACCGACTCTTCCTTCCTTCCCGCGCAATCCGCACGCTGACTCCTCCATTTCTCGCGCTTTCGTTTCTTCCAATGGTGCCCCAACTCCGATATTGGGCTTCTTCCACCGACTTTCTTGTGTTGATTTAATTCTTTGACTTTCACTCCTATCGGCCCACTAATAGCTTTGAACTTCAGCAACTTCTCTCTTGTTGTCATCTTGCTCCAACCACTTACAGAAGTTAAGGATACTTTCTCGTATAGGAATCTATCATTAAGTGCCAATTCCTCAAGGCCCCTGAACTTCTTTCTTGGAGAAGGCTCACAAGCCTGTATTAAAACTTCTCCAATTGCTTCTGGGCTATTCTTCCTTGAAAGCCCACCCACTAAGCCTCCAAACCCTTCTTCCCATTTCACATTTCTCAACCCACGGCCCATGTTGGGCTCACACCCTTCCTGACTCTCATGGCCCGAGTCGAGCCCAGCAACTCCCTCTATCCTTGTCACCCCACTGCCAAACTGGCCCATTTGTGACCCAAGAATTAGGCCCACTAACCCCTTCTCGCAGGTCAACCCAGTCTGCATTGTGCCTTCCTCAAACCAGACCACTCCATTGAGCCCATTAGAGCCTACGGCCCGCATCACTCGGCCCAACAATGGCTGCTGGTACGGCCAGCCCAATGTGGGCGAGCTAGGGTTCGGGAGAAGGGAGCAGTCTCTGCCGTCCTCCTCCATCTCCCTCTTCGTCCTCTTCTCAGGCCAATAGCTCCTCCGGCGGGACGCCCATCGTGAATCCGACATCACCTCCTCGTCGATGGCCGCCACCGGCTTCCATGATTTCCCTTTCTTCTCGTGGCGAACCACCTGATCAGCCACCCCTCTGCTTGTCGGCCGCGCCGTCTCCACGACTCCCGCCGGCGTGTGCGCCTGCCCGTCCAACGACGCGATGAAGGAAGATTCATCGCTGCCGCCTTCCTCATTCCTCTTCGTCTCCTCTAGTGGCGAGCCCGATTCCGTCCTAGCCTCCCACTCCATCGACGAGTCATCCTCTAGATCCACCCCCGACTTTGCTTCACCTCCACTCGACGCCGCGACGAAACCCACCGCCAATGGTCGCGTTCCGCGCGCGTTTCGACGCTCCGGCACCTCTGCATAACGTACCCTGTCAATTCTGGATCCGGACTCCTCCCTCGAGTTCGTCCCCATGGTGGCGAGTCTCTTCTTCATCTTCCAGTCCTTCCCCGGTGTTCCCGTCCTAGGCGGCAACCCAGTCCTCCGACGGTACGACCCGCCCACTCCCGGCTTCCTCTTCCCGGCGGTCGACGTTCGCTGAGCATCGAGTGGTCGCCTCTGTGGTGGTGGGGGTGAACTTATGAACGCCCAGCTTTCTCTGTGATGCGCTCGAGCCGGACTACCATCGAATTTTCCCTCTTCCGGATGTGCTTCAGCCTCCATAGTACAAGGCTGCTTTGTCCCGACCGAGGGTATTGCAGTCTTCGAATTGTCATCAACGGTGTTCGAGGGAAGCTGCTTCCATTTGTTGGTGACGTTTGGAGGCTCTTCCGTTGCTGGCGGCTCGATTGCCAAAACATCTTCCACGTCTGATTGCTCTGCTCGCCTCTCAACTTCACCATCTGAGTCAACCTGCACACCCGACAGTAGCTCTTCTGCTGTGGCGGCATTCCCGGTCGGTAGCTCCTCAGAGCTCCCACGACGGCCGATGCGCCGAGCCCGTTCATGCAGCTCTGCCCACGACAGGTTTGAGAGCTGCGGAGGTAGTTCTCCGTCAGTCTCCTTAGGCATCACTTCCTCCTGTGCGATCGGTAGCTCCTCGGGGGATCCCACGACGTCCGATGCGGCGGGCCTGTTCCCGCAGTTCCGCCCATGACAGGTCCGAGAGCCTTGAAGAGCTCATCGTCGAACCAGTTGTAAAACTCGTCCCCGGTTGAGAGTTGTGAAAAACTCAATTCTCGAAACCGGGCTCTGATACCAGATGTTAGAAACCTTTTTCTAGGGTTCTAACGATCGAGTGATAAGATTGGGAATTGATAGATATTTAGGGATTGAAATAGAATTGGGGAAGAACAGAATTGGGGATTAGGGATTTAGAAGAGGAAATTAGGGATCGAGTAGAAGAATGGCCGACGGCCTAGGGATAGGTGACGAAGTTGAGAGAGATTAGGTAGATTAGGATTTGAGATACTTTTCTGAATAATTGTTCTTGCTTGATTATGAATAAAACGCAAAGTACATATTTATAACGAAAGATAGGAAAACCTAATACTAAACCTAATTCTACTAAAAGACTACTAAGATATTTAATAAAACCTAATAATAATGATAATATAGAAACCGTTTTCCTTAGAAAACGTGTTTCTAACAGAAACATAGATACCATATTATGCCATTGCCACCATCATATGTTAAACTTCCTTACTAACAAAAAAACTTCATTAGGAGAAGACTTGGAGAATGCTGTAGTAGCTTAGCAGTAGAAGAGGAAAGATCAAGGCTTAGTGACTTTGAGTGAGAGAGGGAGAACAAGTGATGGAGGGAGGAAGTGGTGAAGCACAAGACTTGGTAGAGGAGGAGAAAGACACGCAAAAAGCCACCGCCATTTTCTTGGTTCCTCGCAGGGGCAGAGCCAGGATTTGACCGTCGAGGGGGGGGGGGGGGGGAGGAGTTTAGAAAGTGTAATATGTAGAAGAAAATATATCATAAAATATAATTAATATTTGTATTTATTTATAATTTATTTGTAATATTTGAGATAATGAAAATGCCAAAACTATTATTTATAATTTATTTGTAATTTATGCTTCATGGTAAAACTAAATTAACAAGGTTAGAAAATTAATATGGTCATTGTCACGCTCAATTAAGAAGGTTAAAGACAATTAAATATGATTTTTTATCACAGTCAGTTAAGAAGGTTAAAAAATCAATAAAATTTGCTGCCAACAGGTTTCAAACCAAGACCATGAATGACAACAATCAACTTATGCTCCGCTGGACTACACACAAATAATATGCTTCATTATTGCACACAGTTTGTATTTATACTAATCTTCATTTTATACGTAATTCTTCAAAACTCGATAGAATTTTGTACGTGATTTCAAAAATCTCGGGGGGCCGGGGCCCACCCGAAGTACCACCTAGCTCCGCCCCCGGTTCCTCGCTTGAGCTTCGAAAACCTGGTACTTCCTTTTCCCAACACTACTTCTACTTCTGCTGCTATTTCTGTTTCTCTAGAATGAATGAAATGAAATGCAGAGGAAGAAGGAGAGGTGGAAGAAGGAAGAAAAATCGTTTTATGTGAAGACCAATCGTGGGTAGACAAGTTTTCTAATCCACTAAAATATTATGGATCTTAGGTTGGGGTTTCACGTTCTGTTTCCAGTTACATATTTCTATTTGGTGATTTGCATTGTCCCATTACTGAATATATAAGAACAAGTTCCAAATAAATTACTTCATGTGTTGGTCTCGTTGTTTGGTGTATGATGGGCTTTGCTTGGTGTCATCACAAGAGCTCAGTATTCTTGCCTATGAAATTTTGAATATGATTCTAGGGATTCAAATGGTTTTCCTGGTTTGAGCAAGAGCCTAAGATTTTAATTAAGGAGACTGGTCACCTTTTGGAAATTGCAGAAGTAGGTGCTTCTGAAGATGACCATAAAGGTCCAAAGCATAGTCGTTACATGTATCGAGAGATTAAGAGATCGTTTGGCTCATTGCAACCGCTGCAAGCAGAATAATATGGGTCTTTTATGTACCTCTTGAACCACCTCCAAGACATGTAGGACTTCTTTATCAGGTTATGCTCGAACTGCTTTTACAAATTTACACATTTCCATTACCAAAATAAATCTCAGGGGATATCAGATTGTAAATTGAAATGTTGAATCTTTTTATTCACATACTCTTTTATTTTGCTCTGATAAAGTTTTGTTGTTTTAGATCTTGGTGTGTATTACGTTGAGAGGGCCCTATCCTTTCGTTTCTCTTAGATCTTCAGTAGCCAATGGTTCAAAATCAGTAGACTTTGTACACTTCCACACAACCTGACATGCAAAATGGGAAACCATGAATGTTATGCTGGTAAACCACCTTTTGTGAATATGCTTTGCACTTTCTTTGCTTGAAGAGAATATATGAACAACCATTCAGAGTTTTGATTTTTGTCTTCTCTAAACAGGTTGGTTGGGTGTTGGTAGTAGATAATTTTATTCATAATCCATTTCTGCAAGTTAGGGGATGGTCATTCATCAATTGTTGCTTTATACTCAAAATCCTTTTCTTGCATGCTTCTTTTGTTTCAGTGCTACTGGACTTTCTTTCAACTGCTGCTGTAATTTTTCTTCTGTTGCTGCACTTTGTTTTTCCTGCTGCCGTAATTCTGCTTCTTCTTCTGCACTTTTTGATGTTGCTGTAATTATGCTGTTGTTCTGTTATAATTTTGTTGTTGTTGTTTGTTAGTTGTTGTCGCGGTTATGTTGGTTGCACTTCCTCCCCAACTAACTTTCCCTCATGCCCAACTTGAAGCTTCTCATTGTTCTCTCATTAGTAACAGCCTCAAATTTTGTTTCTACAGGACAACATAGATGCACAAAGCACTTACTTGGCAGCTGCAACCTGACATAAATGCTCGATGAGGTGGGCACAGACCAAGGAAAGGAATTGAAAGAAATGGAGGTGAGATACTCAATTGCAGAGGCAGAAGGTCAAAAGGCAGCAATTGGTTATGGTTTAGTAACTGTGGATGATTAGTTAATTAGACTAATTGTTTGATGTTGTAGTTATGAATCAATTTTAGACTTACAGCCACCATTTGATGATTGATATAATAATTCACAACCTCCTAATCATTCTCAATTCTCATATGATATTTCAATTTGGCACTTCAGTGTTACAACTTCGGTTATTATTTGTTCTTTCGTTGTTAATATACCCTTTCTTCGACGTACATGGTCACATGTGCAGTCCCAACTATCTTAACAAATCAAAAGAGGTTGGAATTTTGGAGAAAGGGTAAGAAGGAAAAGAGAAATTTGATATGGAGCACCATTTTGTCTTTTAAGTTGCAGTATAAATAGTATACAATTGATGTTTGCCTATCTTTTTAGTGATCTAAGGAGTTAATAATTAGATCCAATAATTTTTTTCTTTTCTGATTTTGTCTGCTCCAATTTTCCCCAAATAATAGCAAATGTTTCATTGCAAGAGAAACTGAAAAGAGCAAAGATGTATACTAAACGTGGAAGTCTAATGCAGTAGACTAAATTAATACGAGTTTTATGATACATGTTTTGAAGGAATTTTTTTTTGGTATGAAGTTGTGAAGGAATTTTATGTGTTCAGAATTATGTTATGAGTAAATTTAATCTACAGTCGATTGGTGCATACGTATTGTGAAGGGAATAAAGTCGCGGACTGACTCTCGAAGCACAGTCTCGTCTATCCCTTTGGTACGTATGAGCTAATCGAACTTCCGGGAACTGGAGAGAACGCTTCGAGAGGACATCATTGGAGTCAGCTTTCCGAGACAGGTGGTGATTGATACATGATGACTAATGGAAATGACCTCCTGTGTAGATGTGTTTTTGCTTTTGATTAGCTGTAAAAAGCACGTCCCAGATTCTGCTCCGGGGCGTTGCTGTGTTCACCTGTAACTCTTTGGTTTATCCCCTGGCTTTATGACTCCTCCCAATAAATAAATAAATAAATCTACAGGCAAAGGAGAATTGAATTCACCTTGCTTAATTAGAATATCGAAATAGTCCCTGCGGCATAGCCGGGTGTTGATTCTAGTATACATAATAAACAAAAAGGCTATATGCCCAAAGTAGTGATGGCAATTTCAACCCGCCCCGTGGGTATTGTCACGACCTTACTCTCGATCGTGCGGCCCTAGCTCTCAATTCCGTTAGAGCGCTAGACAGCCTTTCTCTCAACTCACTTGAAAGCAAAGAACAAGAACAAAGACAAAGGAAATGGGAGAACTCTCTAGTGTGTATTACTCTCAAAAATGATGGAATGAGTACAAATGAGGGAGATGGCTCCTTATATAGGCCTCTCCACATACAAGGCATCAATGCCCCTCATAAAGTCCCTCTACTACATCAATACATCCCATTAAGTCCCCCCCATTATGCACTCTATCAATGTCACCATTATGTGACTCATAAGTGCACTATAAAGCTCTACATTATGGTGGAGAATCCTAGGAGCATCTCTATGCTACTAGTCTTCCATGCATGCCACATGTGCTGCTGCCATGTTGTCACCTTGTTGGCGCCATGTCATCTGCCACATGTGACATCCTCCCCCACCTATGCTCGCGACGCCCTCGTCGCGTCCTCTTGATGGAATGCCTCGATCAAGTCCTTGTTCTTCCAAAGCGTGAGCTCTTTCTCCCATGTTGCTTCACTCTCCGGAAGGTTGCGCCACTTGACTAAGTACTCCACAAAGCTTGGATGTACGCCGCGACGAGGAATGACACGACGCGCCATGATTTCTTCGACTTCATGGTCGTGTGTCTTGGTGACGAGTGTTGGTGCGCGCTGCGGCTCCCTTCGCTGCTCGTCCTCCTTGTCTTCGTGGTAAGGTTTGAGTTGGCTCACATGAAAGACCGGATGGATCTCCAAGTGCGTCGGCAGCTCTACCTTGTATACCACATTGCCAATCCTCTTCACGATGGGGAATGGCCCTTCATAGCGGCGAAGCAGTCCCTTGTGCACGTTCTTGAGATGCTTGAAGCGATGAGGATAGAACTTGACCATCACCATGTCTCCCTCTTCAAACTCCAAGTGTCGTCGCTTCTTGTCCGCCCATTTCTTCATCTTCTTACTAGCGCGGGCTAAGTAAGACTTGGCCATCTCCACCTTCTCGTGCCAACCTTTAGCGAACTTGTAGGCCGCCGGACTGTTGCCTTTATACCCCGTTGCCACCGTCGTAGGTGTCAAAGGTTGCTGCCCCGTCGCCAACTCAAATGGACTCGTGTTTGTCGACTCGCTGCGGTGTAAGTTGTAGGAGAACTGCGCCGTGTCCATCAACTTCACCCAATCTCGTTGGTTTGCACTCACTTAGTACCGCAAGTACACTTCCAACAAGGCATTCACCCGCTCCGTTTGTCCGTCGCTTTGAGGATGAAATGCCGTCGAGAAGTTCAAGTTTGAGCCCATGATCTTGAACAACTCTCGCCAAAATCTGCCCGTGAAGCGCCCATCTCTGTCGCTCACGATGCTTCTAGGAATGCCCCAATACTTGACCACGTTCTTGAAGAATAGTCGTGCCGCATCCTCCGCCGTTAAGTCTTTTGGCCCAGGAATGAACACTCCATACTTCGAGAATCTGTCCACCACAACCATGATGCAATCGCATCCATCGACTTTGGGAAGTCCGATGATGAAGTCCATGCTCACGTTCTCCCATGGTCGTTGAGGCGTGGGCAAGGGCTCTAGCAAGCCTGCCGGGCTTCTCTGCTCCATCTTGTCTTGTTGGCACACAAGACAAGTCTTCACATACATCTCCACGTCGTCTCTCATACGCGGCCAGAAATATGCTTCTTCGATGAGCGCTTGCGTTCTCTCGATGCCGGGATGGCCCGCCCACTTGGAATCATGGCACTCCTTCATGATCTCCTTCCTCAAGTTGGCCCACCTTGGCACGAACACCCGCTCTCCCTTGGTTATGATGAGCCTATCCTTCATCCAAAACCGCCGAGTTTTACCTTGCTCAATGTACTCCGCTACGGTTTTGGCGAAGGGGTCATGGCCAAGGCCTTCAACGATCCGCTCCTTCAAAGGAAACGTGGGCTGGCTGATGCTTGCGGCTGCACTCTTGCGGCTAAGAGCATCGGCAACGGAATTCGCCTTGCCTGGATTGTACTCCATGACGAAGTCGAACTCGGCCAAAAAGTCTTGCCACCTTGCTTGCTTAGGGGTGAGCTTCTTCTGCGTCAGAAAGTAGCTCGTTGCCACGTTGTCCGTCTTCACAACGAACTTTGACCCCAACAAGTAGTGCCTCCATGTGCGCAAGCAATGCACCACGGCCGTCATTTCCTTCTCTTGAACGGTGTATCGTCTCTCCCTCTCGCTGAGCTTCCGACTCTCGAAGGCAATGGGATGCCCATCTTGCATCAACACTCCTCCAATCGCGAAGTCGGACGCATCAGTCTGCACTTCGTAGGCCAACGTCGGGTTGGGGAGCACGAGCACGGGCTCCTTCATCACCGGTGCTTTCAAGGCCTCGAATGCTTCCTGGCACCTTTCCGACCAATCCCACGCCTTGTTCTTCTTCAAGAGATCCGTCAAGGGTGCTGCAATGTTGGAGTAGCCCATGATAAACCTCCGATAGTAGTTGGCAAGGCCGAGGAATGACCGCAACTCTGGCACCTTCGTCGGCGGCTCCCATTCTTGGATTGCCTGCACCTTCACTCCATCCATCTTCAACTTGCCTCCACCAATGACGTGCCCCAAGAATGGAACCTCCGTGGCGGCAAATGTGCACTTCTCCCTCTTGACGTACAACTCGTTGTCGCGAAGGACTTGGAAGACTTGGCGTAGATGCTCGGCATGCTCATCGAGTGTTTTGCTATACACGACGATGTCATCCAAGTAGACCACGACAAACCGGTCCAAGAATGGCTCGAACACTTGATTCATCAAAGTGCAAAACGTGGCTGGTGCGTTGGTGAGACCGAATGGCATCACAAGAAACTCGTAAGAGCCATACCTCGTCACACAAGCCGTCTTTGGCTCGTCGCCCTCTGCTATCCGCACTTGATAGTAGCCCGAGCGAAGATCTAGCTTGGTGAACCACATTGCATCTCCAAGCTGGTCGAACAAGTCGGCAATGTTGGGAATCGGCCACTTGTTCTTCACCGTCAACTTGTTGATGGCTCTATAGTCGATGCACATCCGCAACGACCCTTCCTTCTTCTTTTGGAACAGCACCGGTGCTCCAAAAGGTGACTTCGATGGCCGCATGTAGCCTGCGTCCACCAAGTCCTTGAGTTGCCTCCGCAATTCTTCTAACTCCGGTGGCGACATGCGGTATGGTGCTCGCGAAGGGGGCTTCGCTCCTGGCTCCAACTCGATCTTGTGGTCCACCTCTCTTCTTGGTGGCAGCTTCTTGGGCAACTCCGATGGCATCACATCATCGAACTCTTCGAGGACACCTTCGATGATGGGAGTTGTGATTCCCGTTGAGCCTCCTTCTTCCTCCATCTTCAAGGACACAAGAAAGGTTGGTTCATTCTTCTTGAACCCCTTCACCACTTGCATGGCCGATAGAGCACTATGGGGACCATCTTCTCTCAAGAGATGAACAGCATGGAACTCCCCTTCCTTCTCCAAGCACATCGTGTTGGAGTTGGGCTTCAAAAGCACTCCCTCCTTGTCGAGGAAGTGGATGCCGAGGATGACTGGGTGATCGTCCATGGTGACGACGGAAAAGTCGATGAGGCCTTCCCACTCGCCAAGCTTCATTGGTACGTTGTGAGCAACTCCATGGATCGGGATGGACTCCGAATTGATCGTCTTGAGCCTCCCTTGCCCCTTCTCGTAGGCAATACCCAGCCGGTTTGCCTCCTCGACGCGAAGAAAGTTGTCCGTGGCACCGGTATCCACCAAGGCTTTTGACTCGCCTTGCATGAATTGCGCCAGAACATAGCACCTCCCCCGCTTGCTCTCCTTGACGTCGGTCTTCGCCGCGCCAAGCTTGCGGATTGAGCCAATCTTGGCCTCCGCCGCCTTGGGCTCTTCATCTTGAGCTTCCATGGCTGCTAATCTCGCCTTCCTTGGGCAATCTCGCACTCGATGTGGTCCGTCGCAAAGGAAACAAGTCATGGGTTTTGGCTCGTACTTACCCCCTTTGCTCGAACCACCTTGGTGTTGTTGAGTGCGAGAACCCTCCTTGAAAGGCTTCTGCTGTTCTCCACCCTTGTTGGGCTTCGAACTCTTCTCTTTGCCGCTGCTCTCTTGTCGTTTGTACTCGACAAAAGACTCCGCCGTGGCCATGGCAGTTGCAAGGTCTTGCACTCCTCGATGTTGCATCTCCATCTTGGCCCATGGTTGCAGCCCATCAAGAAAGCCGTGCATGGCCTCCTTGTCCGTGATGTCCGGGATCTCTAGAAGCAGCTCCGAGAATTCTTTCACGTATTCTCGAACTCCACCCCTCTGGGTGAGTCTTCTCAACTTTGAACGGGCTTCAAACTCCACGTTCTCTGGGTAGAACTGCCTCTTGATTTCTCTCTTGAAATCTTCCCACGTTACCATCACACAAGTACCTCTTTCGACGTCCGCTTCACGTCGCCTCCACCACACCATGGCAACATCAACCAAGTAAAGTGGAGCGGTACGAATCTTTACCTCATCCTCTTGGATGCCGGACGCCTTGAAGTACTGCTCAAGACCCCAAAGGAAGTTCTCTAACTCCCTCGCATTCCGTGAACCTCCGAAGCTCTTCGGTCTTGGAATATCAGCACGTGGGACGGATTGCACCGTGGCTGGTCCGCTAGCCATGGCTCTCTTCACGAGAGTGACCTCACTCTTGAGATCTGCAATCTCCTCCTTCACGCCGACCAGCTCAGCCTGGACTTGCTCTTTCACAACTCCAATGGCGTTGTTCAAGGATGTGGTGATGGTGTTGTTGATGAGGGCCACAAGCTCTTCTCGTAAGCCATCATTACCAATCTCCAAGCTCGACAAACGAGCATTCATACCTTGAAAATCGCTTTCGACTTGGGTGAAGTTTGCTCCCAAATCCTCGATGGCACTGATGTCTTCCGCCAACTTCACCTCCATTCTAGAGACACGCCTCTCTAGAGACGTCATAGGATCACGAGTGCTTGACTTGTCACCCTTTGGTTTGGGATTCTTCACGGTATCCCTTCCACGGTGCTTCTCCGCATCGTCGTGGACTTCTGATCCAGTCATTTTTGGTGAGGTTCTTCCTTTCCTTCTGGCTCTAGGTTCAACTTTGCTAGCACAAAGCCGAACCAGGCTCTGATACCACTTGTCACGACCTTACTCTCGATCGTGCGGCCCTAGCTCTCAATTCCGTTAGAGCGCTAGGCAGCCTTTCTCTCAACTCACTTGAAAGCAAAGAACAAGAACAAAGACAAAGGAAATGGGAGAACTCTCTAGTGTGTATTACTCTCAAAAATGATGGAATGAGTACAAATGAGGGAGATGGCTCCTTATATAGGCCTCTCCACATACAAGGGATCAATGCCCCTCATAAAGTCCCTCTACTACATCAATACATCCCATTAAGTCCCCCCATTATGCACTCTATCAATGTCACCATTATGTGACTCATAAGTGCACTATAAAGCTCTACATTATGGTGGAGAATCCTAGGAGCATCTCTATGCTACTAGTCTTCCATGCATGCCACATGTGCTGCTGCCATGTTGTCACCTTGTTGGCGCCATGTCATCTGCCACATGTGACAGTCTTACCCGACCTGACCCGTGATGGGGCGGGTATTATCCGACCCGCAGTAGCGTGGGGCGGGGCATGGGTATCTACTTCCGACCCGCCCTGCCCAGTCCTAGACTCATTTTATCTCAATTTCTTACAATATCTATACATATTTCTTCTATTTTGACTTTTCTTCAATTAGTTAGAGTCGATCTTTCAACTTGTTAGGCTTAATTATCCATTCTATTATCAATATTTTTCATTCTTAAAGTGTTTTCCCCTACGTTTTATTGTAAAAAGTAAAATTTACTTATATATTTTTTGAACATGTGAGAGTGGGTCGACCCGCCCCATACCCGCGCGGGTTTTACCCACCCCGACCCGTAGTAGCATGAGGCAGTGCATGAGAATTGACTATTGAATTACCCGCCCCACCCCACCCCACCCCACCCCACCCCACCCCATTGCCATCACTAGCCCAAAGGGCAGGGGTCAAAGCTAGTGTTAAAAAAGGGGAAAGCCGAAGAACCATAGCCATTGTCGTCACACTATATTCATCAACTTTTGCTTATAGAAATCTCTGCTCTATCATATGATATTTGAGTTCAGTTACTATTTAGTATTTACTCAGAGAGGAAACCTCTCTTGATCAGCGGGGAAAGATGAAGCCAGACCTTACCTGACATGAGAAAACCAAAGCACAGAACAGATCAATTCCCACTTTCTCCATCTGTGTTTCGTCTCTTTCTGCAATAGTGTGAAGGAGTCACCTCCTCCCGTTTCTTTTTTCTTGTCTTTTGCTCGCGTCACTCTCAAAACCAACTGCCCAAGGTAGATTAAACTGGATAAACCTTGTTCGTTGTGTTGTCGTTGTTCATAACATTCCACGCTCCATTTATATCTATCCGAAGAGGAAGAAAGCATAGGGAGCGGCAGCAGCTGCTAGTGAACAGAGTCAATGAAGACCACTCTCTCCTTGTTCTGCTGCTCACTGTCTCTCCTCTTCTGCTTCTATCTACCCAGGTACGAGTTTCTTGGTAAAGTTACGAGCCTTGCTCTATAACCCACCAATTTTACTGCTAGATGCTTCCTTTTTTGGGCCATTGATGATGAACCCACAAGGATTTGACTTCAAAGTTCTGAACTTTTTCCGGCTCTGCCTAGCAAAAGTTTGTTCCTTTCACATTCGGCTCTGCCTAGCAAGTTTCAGATTCTTCTACCTTTTGGGAAACCTTGATTTCGAAAATATGCAGGGGTTCGTTATCTGCTGGTGTTGACCGATGTAAGTTGCCACCAAGAGGTTGGAACTCGTATGATTCCTTCTGTTGGACGATTTCTGAGGATGACTTCTTGAAGAGTGCTAAAGTTGTTGCGAAGTATCTAAAATCGTATGGATATGAGGTATATAATAGGGGGTTTAAGTTACAACCAATAGAACTGTCTAATTCGAGGGCCATTACTGAAAAACTCAGTTCAAATTTGTGCTTATTTCAGTATGTAGTGTTGGATTACCTTTGGTACAGAAGATTAGTTCCAGGCGCCTACACTGATTCTCTTGGGTTCGATGTGATTGACCAATGGGGGAGAATGGTTCCTGCCCCAGATCGATGGCCTTCTGCCAAGTCGGGGAATGGGTTCGCTGAAGTTGCCAAGGAAGTCCATAGTTTGGGTCTCAAGTTTGGAATCCATGTCATGAGGGGATTGAGTCGACAAGCATTTGATGCTAACACCCCTATATTGGACATTAACACGGTACTCGATTAGCTTCCCTTTTCCACTTCTATTGCGTTCATAGGTTTTTTTATGACCGGGCCTTCTGTTTTGAATAGGGGCGTGCTTACGAAGAATCCGGTCGAGAATGGAGGGCTCAAGACATAGGGATCAAGGAGAGGAGTTGTGCATGGATGCCACATGGTTTCATGAGTGTCAACACTTCATTGCCTGCTGGTAGAGCCTTCTTGAGCTCACTCTATCACCAGTATGCCGAGTGGGGTGTTGATTTCAGTAAGTCTTTGAAAGTTCAACTTTCCTCATTCAGATCATACCCAACTGGTGAATCTTTCAGGTCTGAAAATCTTATAATTATCTCTTCTCTTTGTAGTTAAGCATGATTGCGTATTTGGTGATGACTTCAACCTAGAAGAGATAACATATGTGTCTGGATTGCTGAAGAAGTTCGATCGCCCAATCTTATACTCGCTCTCCCCTGGAACTTCCGTAACGCCAACAATGGCTAAAGAGCTGAAAGGATTGGCAAACATGTATAGAGTAACCGGAGATGACTGGGATTCGTGGGGAGATGTGGCTTCACATTTTGATGTTGCAAGGTGTGTTAAAAAGACTTGATACATGATTGTCTTTGGATATTCTTATTGCTTACTCGACAATTTTGCTTTAATGCTTCAGGGACTTTGCTAAGGCAGAAATGGTCCCAGGTGAGGGCTTGCTCGGAAGTTCATGGCCTGATCTGGATATGCTGCCATTAGGGTGGCTTACTGATGCTGGTAAGATTTGTTGTTAGATCTTGTTTCGGAGAGTTTTGACTTAATTATACATAGACGTTGGTTCCTTTATATGAGTTTTTTAATTCCAGGAGCCAATCAAGGGCCTCATAGGCAATGCAACCTTACCCTTGATGAGCAAAGAACCCAGGTAGGCAAGTATGCAAATGATGATGGACAACAAATTGACCATTTCTTCATCGCCAAGGAAAGCCTTATGCTTTGTTTTCTTCAAGATGACTTTGTGGTCGATGGCAAGGTCTCCGCTCATGTTTGGAGGAGACGTTAGACAGATTGATGAGACGACTTACAAATTGATCACTAATCCTACCTTGCTGGAGATAAACGATTATAGTTCGAACAACATGGAGGCATGTGAAGCTTTTTGCTTGCTCTCTTTAACGACCTTGAATGTCTTTAAGAAACCTTACTAGTTTGCGTTTTTATTGATAACAAGTCATGCTTGCATATGCAGTTCCCTTATGTTACAGGGAAGATACTGAGTCCAGCAAGGAACCATCTCATGAGGCGATCAAAGATATCTATGTTGAAACGAGTCAACAATCATCATACCCGGGTTGTAGGTGTTACGAGTTGCAAAGATCCCAATGTAAATGGTTGGTCGGTTGAATCTCTTGGTCAGTATCATGAACAGATTTGTTGGAGGAAGGAGGACGAGCAGCTAAACCGGGAACCATTATGTCTATACAAGAGGAAACCTCTCTTGGCTTCATCGTAAGTAGTCCATTTGGCATATTCATCTTAATTAGCCATTGCCATTATGTTTCTCTCCAGATGGTTAGAGCTAAAATTTGTCAAATATGCAGCAATGAGCATGTGCTTTATGGCCAAGATAACCGCCGATTGTTCACAAGTGACGATGGAGTGAAATCTTGCTTGGATGCTTCTCCAAGACATAAACTTACTTCCAGCGAGTGGAAGAAAAAGCAGCCCTCATTCTCGACCTGCAGAGGGGATGACAATCAGGTATATATATACCACCATTTTTCTTCTTCTCCTCGTATTGATTGTGAAAGGAAATTCGCTGCTCATTTCTGCAATGGATTTAAGAGCTTGAACAAGTTTTGTCAACAGATGTGGAAGTTGAGCAGCAATGCCACTCTCAGGAGCAGTTACTCTGGCCTATGCGCCAGGGTAAAACAAGTTAAAGGTAATGGTCAATTGCATAACAACTCAACCTGTTCTAACAGATTGGTCACTACAAACTTATCACTGAACTTCAAAATAAATAGCATACTACTAATTTCATCAAGATTTTCATCCAAATTGTGGAGATTCAATCAGTATGTTGCATAGCCAGATAGAATAAATGATTAGAGTGGTTACAGGTAATGTTGGCTGAAATTTGGCAGAGTTGGATCAAGTGTGAGTTGTCGTCCATGTCAGCTAATTAGCGTTCATGCATACAAATCTATTGTTAATTTGGTTGATTTTGCATTAAATAGCCAGTATGAAGTGCATGTTATGTTAGGATTTTCAGTGACTGGTCTTAAGTCGCAAACTTGTTACTGTTACTGATTTTCTGTTGATAAAGCTAATGATGTCAGGACCAGTGGGGTACGATCCTGGATTGCAACAGGAAGACAAGGAGAAATCTATGTTGCTTTCTTCAACCTCAATGTTGAGAAAACATTGATCTCAGCCAAGTTGTCAGACATGGCCAAGGTGCTTCCAGGGAGAAACCTGGAAGACAAAGCAGCTTGTAAAGGCAGAGAAGTCTGGAGCGGCCAGCGTTATGAAGCTGTGGCGGATTCGTTGGAGATGGTAGTGGATAAGCACGGTTGTGCACTCTTTACCTTGAACTGCAGCTAGCTTAGGTTAGTGGAAAATTATGTTGATGCTGCAGGAAATCTTCTTTTTTTTTTTACTACCAGGTTAAGGTAATAGGGAGAAAGAGAAAATAAAGGTTGAAGCTTTCTTTCTGTGAGACGCTTAAGAATCCAGAAAAGCAGGGGAGTTTTATGACTAGTGCTCTGTTTCCTCTGTTTTCTTTTTCTAGAAAACTTGCTGATGCATGTCCAGGCTAATAAGGGAGAGACAAACTCGGCAACTACCTCTTCAATTCTCCCCTCTCTTCGCCTAGTGACTGTTACTTTTCTGTTCTTCTGTTCCTAAAGTTATGTTAGTGGGGAATTCTGTTTCCATAGGAATAGCTATTTGTTCAAGTCCTTTTGTATATATACACATCAATAGTACAATCACAACTCAGGTCTTCTGAGACATTTACATGGTATTAGAGCTCATTGCACTCTAACGAGTCAATTCTTCTTTTCATTCTTCCTTCTCGGTCTTTCTTCTTTCTTCAAAGCCGACAAAGGCCACCGAACCTTCCTCTGTTTCGTCTTCCTTTGCTTCCGGCGATTCCACTTCGCCGCCAGTTTCATCCATCTCCTTGCCGGCCAACCCACAGCTCATTGTCAAGCTCACCCCCAACGAATTACTTGTTGTGGCATGCCCAGATCACTCCACTTTTTCGCTGTCATCAATTGATAGGCCATGTTGACGGTTCTCTTCCTGCTCCACCGCAACTCGTCAATGGCCAGTCCAATCCCGCCTACTGGCCGTGGTATGTGCGTGACCAGTATGTGCTAACCTGGATCAATCTATCGCTCTCCAAGGCCGTTCTGCCCAATGTCGTCAACAAAGCCACTGCTCTCGACGCTTGGTCTGCGTTGGCTACCATTTACGCCTCAGATTCTCCCGTCATCATCGGCCAGCTCCGCAAGTCTCTTCTCCTTCTCTCTCGTGGCAATGAGACGATCCATGAATACATCCACCGAGCGAAGGCTATCTATGACAAAATGCTCGCTCTCGGTGCTACTGTCACCGAATAGGAACTGGTGGTTGCACTTCTGGACAGCCTTGACGAAGACTACTGCCCATTCACCCGTAATCTCGAGGCGCGCCTGGAACCCATCTCCTTCGAGAATGTCAGCAGCCTTCTTCTCAGCGAAGAAATTCAACTGCAACGATTTCGCTCATCGCCCGGCGAGGTTGCGCCTCCGCAGTCGTTTTACTCCGCCAGAGGGGGCGCGGCGGCGGCCGATTCTCCCGCAACTGAGGCCAGCGCTCTACTGGCCGAGGGTTTCCCAACCCGGGCCGCCTTTCTAACTCCTTTTTTGCAGGTGGCAGGCCCAATTCAGGTGGCCCACGGCCTGTCTTGCCACGAGTGCTGGGTGCTGGGCCTTCTGGTCCATCTCTTATGACTTGTCACAATTGCGGGGGGAAGGGTCATATCCGAGCCCATTGTCCCAGCCCTATCATTCCATCTCAGCACAATTATCACCCTGGCCCAGCCTCTTACCTTGCCCAATCCTCTCACCCGGCCCAGTTCTCCCAACAATGGCTCCTTGATTCCGGAGCAAATCATCATCTTACCTCCGATTTGGGAAATCTGATTCATCATTCTGAATATAATGGTCCTGATCAAGTCACCTTCGACAATGGTAAATGCCTCCCAATCTCTCACTCTGGTTCCTCTCATGCTCGTCTTTCTAATCATTCCTATGTTCTCGACTATATGTTTCGTGTTCAACATGCTCCTCAAAACCTTCTCTCTGTGAGCTCCTTAACTCGTTCTAATCCCATTTCCATTGAATTTTTTGATACATATTTCGTGATCAAGGATCGCCGCACGAAGGATGAGCTATATCGTGGTAGTGCTCGGGATGGTCTATTTTCACTGCCTCTCCATATCCAAATTCACACTCTTCCTCGTGTCTTCACTGCCTCTCTTGATCTCTGGCATCAACGGTTGGGTCACGCAAATCTCCGGGCTGTTAAACATCTTCTGTCTTCTCATTCAATAAAATACCATGATAGTCCAAACTCTTTATGTCATGGTTGTTCTATTAGTAAAATTCACAAATTACCATTTCCTTCTTCCCAATATCGTGCTTCTGCACCATTAGAACTTATTTGCAGTGATCTTTGGGGCCCCGCTCCTATTCTCTCTTATGATCATCAATCTTATTATGTGTTATTCTATGATCATTATAGTAAGTTCAGCTGGGTGTATTTTGTGCGCTATAAATCTCAACTCCTCAATGTCTTCATCCAATTTCGTCAACTTTTTGAGAAATTTTTTGGTCTTCCTATCAAAACTTTTCAATCTGATTGGGGTGGTGAATATCAGGCCTTATCCTCCTATCTTGCGGAAAATGGCATTACTCATCATTCTTCTTGTCCCTATACTCCTGAGCAAAATGGCTGTGCAGAGCGGAAACATCGTCATATTGTTAATAATGGTCTCGCTATGTTACATCAGGCAAATGTTCCACTCAAGTATTGGTCTCTTGCGTTTGATACCACGTGTTATCTCATCAATCGCACTCCACTCCCCTTCTTCAAAATCACTCTCCATTTCATACCTTGTTTAATATATCCCCAGATCTTCAAAATCTCGGTGTCTTTGGCTGTTTATGTTATCCTTGGCTTCGTTCTCAAACTTCTCACAAACTACAACCTCGTTCCACCCCTTGTGTTTTCTTGGGTTATAGTGGTCTCCATAAAGGTTATCGGTGTCTTGATCGATCTACTGGCCGTATTTATGTCAGTCGTCATGTTCTTTTTGATGAATCAGTGTTCCCTTACAAGGATACTCCTCTCGACCCAGCTGCCACTATTTCCACATACCATTTTCTCGCTAAACCCATTACACTCCCCGGTCCATACCTTTAGCTGACCCACATCCTCCCTTCTCGTCTGACCCATCCCCTTCTCTTTCCCCCCAGCTTGCTACCACTGTTCCCCAGCCCGCTACCACTGTCCCTCAGCCCACCATTCCCGAGCCCATTACCCTTCCCCTACCCGAGCCCGTTCATCACTCTCCCACCTCGCCTCGGCCCATATCTCACAATTCCCAGCCCATTTCCCCTACCTCTGTTTCCCACCCGGGCCAGAGCCTCCTGCCCAGCCCACCGTCACTTGTCCTCCGCCTTTGCTTCGGTATTAGGGATGGCAATGGGTCGGGTTGGGTCGGGTTTTGCCAAACCCAAACCCAAATCCATGGGTTTATCCGTGAAAAAAACCCGGGGTAAAACCCACTGGGTTTGAAAAACTCAAACCCAACCCAACCCGCTGGGTATCCGCGGGTTCATGGGTACCCACGGGTTTTTGTCGTAAAAAATTTACAATAACAAGTTCCTATCAAAATTAAAGTCAAATATCAATCTCTCAATACAAATTATCCATATTTAAAACACCATTCTAGAAAATTCAAGCAAATCACAAATTAACTATACAAATTGTTCAACGCCAATCTAGAAAACTCAAGAAAATTGAAATAAATCATAAATTATCCATAAATAACATATTAATTGAAGGCTTCTTCCTTTCAATTAAGTTTCTTCACTCTCCACTCGATAACACAAACTTCATTCTACACAATTAGAAAGAAAAAATTAGACATGTCTCCACAAACATAAATAAGATTAGTTGTTTAAAATATTAAATATACCGAGAAAATTAATTATATGTGTGGGCGGGTACCCACGGGTCGGGTTTACCTAAACCCAAACCCAACCCGGTGAATAATGAACGGGTTTAAACCCAAACCCGACCCAAAACCCGTCAACACGGATTTTACCCGCGTTGACCGGATTGGGTCGGGTGGGTACCCGTGGGTTCGGGTTTGGTTGCCATCCCTATTCGGTATCACTGCCGCTCCGCCACTGTCAATGCCACCCAGCCGCCTCTTCTGCACTATACACGCCGACCAAAATCAGTCACCACACCCTCTCCTCGCATCTCTGTCCCTCCCTCCCCACCCCCTCCTGCACACCGACCTCAACCTTCTCCCAAGAATTCCAATTCTCCTGGACTCACCAATCGTCCCCCCTTTAATACGTCTCCCCGCATTGTGCCTTCGACTGCATCCGCCCTTCCCCGCCAAATGATTACTCGTACACAGACCGGCAAGCTCAAGCCCCACCAGTATCTCGCTGCTGCTCCCTCTGGCTTACCTTCTACTGCAGCTCAGGCCCTGAAATTGCCCCGCTGGCGGGCGGCCATGGTCACCGAATTCGACGCTCTTGTTCGGAATCATACCTGGGACCTAGTTCCTGCCCCTCCTGACTGTAATATTTTGTCTAATCGCTGGGTGTTTGCAGAGAAAACGAATCCCGATGGTTCTCTCGAACGTGAGAAGGCCCGGTTGGTAGCTCGCGGCTTTGAGCAGATTCCCGTGATTTCGGTGATACTTTCAGTCCCGTTCTGAAACCAGCAACAATACGACTTCTACTGGGTATTGTTGTATCTCACGATTGGCCATTACACCAGGTCGACATCTCGAATGCATTCTTACACGACACTCTTCAAGAAGAGGTGTATATGCAACATCCAATTGGATTTGTTGATCCTGAGCATCCTGATTACGTATGCCGTCTTCGAAAATCTATCTATGGTCTGCGCCAAGCGCCCCGTGCTTGGTTTCACTGTCTCTCTCAAGCTCTTCGGGATTTCGGGTTTGTCGCCTCCAAAACAGATCCGCCACTCTTCATTTACAAGGCTGATTCTGTGGTTTTCTACATGTTGGTGTATGTGGATGACCTTGTAATTACCGGCACTGATTGGACAGTCATCCAGGAGCTGATGGTTCATCTTCGTTCTCGATTTGCTCTCCGTGATCTTGGTCGGCTGTCTTATTTTCTTGGCCTGGAAGTTCATTATACTCCATCAGGCTTGATCCTCAATCAACGGAAATACATCCTCGAGATGCTGGAACGCTCCGGGATGGCCCAATCAAAGCCTATATCCACTCCCTGCACACCTGATCAGCTCACACAAAGTGGATCGGATCTGTCTCCGGCGTTTGCTAATCCAATCTTGTACAGAAGTATAGTTGGCGGTCTACAATATTTGAGCTTCACTCGCCCGGACATCTCATTTGCGGTCAATCACGTCTCTCAGTTCCAGCAGTCCCCATCTAATGCTCATTGGGCAGCCGTTAAGCGTATTATGCTCTATCTACAAGGTACAATTACACAAGGCCTGCTTTTCCAACGATCCTCCGATTCTCAATTACATGGTTACTCGGGTGCATCCTTTGCCTCGTGTCCTAAGGATCGCAAGTCAGTCTCTGGATTTGCTGTTTTTCATGGCACAAACTTGGTATCTTGGTCGAACAGGAAACAGAAAGCAGCGGCCAGGTCATCAACAGAATGTGAATACAGGGCGCTTGCCACTCTTGCCTCCGAGGTCATTTGGTTACAAGCACTCTTAGCTGAACTCGGCCAATCCCCACAAGCGTCCCCTGTTCTATGGTGTGACAACCTCGGTGCCACATACCTCGCTCACAATCCGGTTTTTCACACGGGGTCCAAACACTTTGAGATTGAGTTCCATTTTGTTCATGATCAGGTCAACAAACAACAACTTCATGTCCGCTATCTACCGGCTACTGATCAACTAGCGGATGTTCTTACGAAACCTCTGACACGACAGTCCTTCCGCAGCTAATGCTCCAAGTTTCACCTCTACGAGGTTCCACTTGCGGGGGCGTGATAAAGGGAGAGACAAACTCGGCAACTACCTTTTCAATTCTCCCCTCTCTTCGCCTAGTGACTGTTACTTTTCTGTTCTTCTGTTCCTAAAGTTATGTTAGTGGGGAATTCTGTTTCCATAAGAATAGCTATCTGTTCAAGTCCTTTTGTATATATACACATCAATAGTACAATCACAACTCAGGTCTTCCGAGGCATTTACATAGGCCACAGGCCACCTTTCTCATATTGAAGAGTGAACAAGACTAACTTCAACAATTTAAACTAAAGAGTCCAGAAAAGCAGGGGAGTTCTATGACTAGTGCTCTGTTTCCTCTGTTTTCTTTTTCTAGAAAACTTGCTGATGCAAGTCCAGGCCACAGGCCACCTTTCTCATATTGAAAAGTGAACAAGACTAACTTCAACAATTAAAATTAAAGAGTTACACTAGTGATGATAACACATATAATTGATCGATCACATCTCTCCTCTATACCCTCCAGAACCAAAGTAATCCCTACTTCTTAAGCTAGCTAGCTGCTGGCTTCTTTGTTGCTCCAGCTTCGGACAGGAGCTGATTCGATGGCCAAGACCACCACAGTAAGCGCAACCATCAGCGTTGGTAGCGGTACCAACCACACCAAGCTCCACTGGGTCACTCAATTCTGCAAGAACAGGTGGAATCCTCTGTCTTGCTTCTTGCAACAGGTGCTTCAGATCAAGGAGCGTCGTCTCGCTCTGCTGCGAGTTTATAAACGTGGTAGCAAGCCCAGTCTTACCACATCTCCCAGTTCGTCCAATCCTATGGACGTAGTTCTCTATCTCTGCCGGCATGTCGTAGTTGATCACATGCTGAATGTTGGGGAAATCCAAACCCTTGGAGGCACCATCAGTAGCAACCAAGACGTCTTTCTTCCCCGCTTTAAACAACGCAACCGCACGGTCCCTATCCGTCTGCTCCATCTCCTTCCCATAAAAAGAGACGGCATCGACTCCCTTCACAAGGAGATACTCATGGACTTTACACACGGCAGCGTTGTTTTCACAGAATACCACGACCGGGGGTGGAGTCTTCTGCAAGCACTCGAGAAGGTACACAATCTTGGCTTCCTGCTTCACATACTCAACTTCCTGAATCACGTCCAGATTTGCTGCACCAGCTCTCCCCACGCTCACCGTCACCGGCTTCACCAGCGCTCTTCGAGCAAACTCGTGCACTTTGGTGGGCATGGTGGCGGAGAATAGAAGGGTCTGCCTTTGCCCTTTCAAGTGGTCGAATATGTACCTCGTGACATCCTCAAAATCCCCATCCACCAGCTTGTCTGCTTCATCCAATGTCAAGAACCTGCAAATGTCCAGCCTCATCTTCTTCTTCGCCAGCATATCTTTCAACCTCCCAGGAGTCGCAACAACAATGTGCACACCTTTGTTCTTTACAACCGATGCCAACTCCAATCGGTTATCGATTCCTCCTATACCGAGCAACATCTTAGTTCAGGATAGCCACCATTCTCCGCCATAGGTGCCAAAAACTGCTGGACCACATCGTACGTCTGCCTAGCGAGTTCCCTCGTCGGGCAGACTATCAACCCCAACGGCCCTTCCCCAGGCCCAACAGGCATCATCCATTCCTCTTGTAAAGCAATCATGATCAACGGGAGGACGAAAACGAGCGTCTTCCCGGAACCCGTTGAGCTAATCCCAATCATATCCCTTCCGGACAAGACAACAGGAAGCCCCTGCAGCTGAATCGGAGTGGGCCGAGAAATCCCCCTGGCCTTCAGCACCTCGAGAGTTGGATCGGGGAACTTCATGTCTCTGAAGTTACTTACCGGTGGAGGGATCTCTTCTCCATCCACTACAATGTGCCATTGTTTCCGAATGGCATCGCGATCCTCGCTGGGCATTCTCCGGTAACGAAGCGGGGGTTTCCATCCGGTCGGCAGCGGCTCGGTATAGGTGATTCCCTTGGCCAGTTCGCTGACGGACATTAGGGGTTTTCTGGCTGATGATAACAAGTCTTGTACGATCTCGATTTCTTGTTGAACGAGCTGCTCTGCCCGAGTGATTGCGGGTTGCTTGCGCTTGAGCTGCGTTGCTTGAACAAGAAGACTTGGTGGTGGTTTTGATTCAGCAGCCGGTGGTTTATTGGCAGACGAAGACGGCGGCGAGTCGTCGTCGTCGAGGGTTTCATCTCCCAAAGCACAACTACTACCAGTATCCCTAATCGGCTTTCCCTCCCGCTGATGTCGAAGAAGGGTTTTTTTCGCCTCCAGAGCTCGGCGCTTTGCGACGGGGACGTACTCCACATACTCATCCTCCTCCAATTCCATCGTCATGGTGTCGATTTCCCTTCTGCACAGAATCAAAAGCGGCAACGAAGAAGTCCGATTGAAGAAGCGAAAATCTGCAGCGGACCAGAGAAAACAAACGAGCGTAGGGAATGGCGTCAAATCAAAATCGAAACATATATATAGGGAGTGCCTCACTCTGTCAGTTTTGGGGCCGGTTAGTTAGGCCCACTAGAAGATAAAGGGAAACGTATAATCCATTTTCCTAATCCGAAACGGTTATTACTTATATAAATGGCCCAACTCATAATAGTAGTGGAGCCAGGGGGGACAAACGGTTGTTTGATCAACGATTTCTATTGTTTCTCCGGAGATCTGAATGGATCGGGTTTCGAGTATTTATTGTTATCCATAGGTCTAGGCGGATAGTTCAGATCTCTTATCCTAACACTAACCAAAGTATTTCGACTTTTACGCGTAGCCATATCCACACAAGAATCGTGTAGAAAATTAAAACCATGACCACACTCGATCGGATTTCTTATCCATGATTATCGTAGATAATAATTTTTCTTCGTAACTTTAATTAATATGTTAGCAATTAATACTGACATTATATAAGTGAAAAGGTATATAACTACATCACTAAGTAAATGAAAATTAGTTGAAGAGAACACAATTGCATGAAAATATTATATATCATACAATCATATACATCCATTACCCTACCCACAATGTTCGGATTAGATATTTGAGAATACCCAACCTAAAAAATTTTTGGGTTCTGGATTTACCTTATCAAATTAGGTCGGATACCGATAGTGTGGATATTTTTGTAGTCCTTACTCCCATGTCTACTTTTTCTTGAACTAATAAAACATTTCTTGAAAGAAGTACAATAAAAAGTACAAGAGCGGGCTATGAGATGATAACCGACTTTTTTTATAAACAAAAACTTTGAAGAAACACACTTTGGGCAATTGACCGGGCTGCCAAAAAGGAGATACAGCAAAGTCTCATATGTGATTTGAATTTATAACATATGATCTGTTTGACTATATTTTATTTGTCATAAGTGTAATTATAATCGTGTAGTCCTTTTCCCAAAATTTCCAAAGCCTAAAACTTAATCCATGAACTACCCCTTATCCCAATCATATTCTAGCACATGATTTTATCATGAGAAGTTTAGTAACGTTTCTGATTCTTCTCTTCTATAGGATTTTTTTAGAATGATTATCATTGTGTTAAAAACAAAGAGTTATTTTTTGGATTAAAATGAACCGATGAATTAGCTGAGTTGATGGTTGAGATAGAATTCAATCTATCATATCCATGAGTATATTTGCTCCTCAAAGTTGTATTGATTTTACTAGTTGTAACTCCAAGTGTTGAGAGAGCTTTTTTAGCTTTGGGTTACTATTACATCAAGAACAAGGTTTATAATCGAATGGGCAATTAGTTCGCGAATTATTGTTTAGTATAATATATTGAAAAAATTTGTTGAGTAATGTAAACAATAAATGTATCTAATTTTTTTTTCTTCAAAATATGGTAATACGTGGTGGACTTTTGTTATAACTTGTACTAGACACTAGTAGGATATATTTATTTAAGATTTCTTCTTAATTTTAAATTGTTAATTTAATGGGTCCTTAAGTTTCTGAAGACAACGAAGTCAATCGACGCGAATTCTATGGTGCGGTGATGGCGCCCGTGCCGGCATTATATCTGGCCGGTTCAAGTTGGTCAGAATTGATTCCAGACATTGGTCTTGGTTTGATTAGATAATAAACACATAAAATAAAAATAAATTGAAAACAAAAAATTCCTCTCGCCTTTCACGATTCCCTTTCCCGATTTACTTCTCTTCTCCCTCGGAAAATCCCAATTCTGAATCTCTCTCTGCCAATCCAAGTCATTACCACGATCACCGCCGCCGTTGCTGGTGGCCACCAATCGCCACCATCGTATTGCTGTCATCAATCGAAGTTAAGGGGAAAATGGGAACACTCAATAATGGAGGGGCCAAAACCCCACATGGCGATGAGAGCTATAAGCTGCTTAAGACCATCTCCATCCCATTGCTTATACCTATTGCTTATTTAGTGGGATCTTAGGTGGCACCACTTTTAAGCAATTGCAAGGATGTGGGGTGATTTCTTATTTAACAAAATTGTTAAATAAGAAATTCATCTTGCAATGCCACCTAGGATATCTTTTGTCTTTCAATTACTTTTTCTTTCTTTGTTATGTGGTAAGAAATTGTATGGGTTCACTATTGGCAATTGCTTATTGATTTTAGGGATGTAGGAGTTTGAAAATTATTGAATGAGATTTTTGCTTGATTGGTAATATGGTGATAAGGGCCCACTTTAGAAATTGTTTATTAATTGCAGGGATGGAGATGGTCTAAGAAGCCGAGCGAAAGAACTCAAAGGAAGCCGGCCGTAAGCCCCAGCCAATCCTCGTAAACTTTGAACCTTTTTTCTTCAAGTCTGCTAGACAAGGAAGAAACAGAGCAAGGATTGGAGCGGAAGAGGATGAAGAAGTACATCAAAGTAGCGATTCCCCTGTTTCTTTTACTGGGTACTCTGTTTTTCTTCTTGGGTTTCCTTGTTTTCAGGTTCTGATTCTTCTTCTTCTTCCTCCATTTCTCTAGCTCTTCATCTCGAATGCTTGTTCTTTTCGATCATTTTGCTTGAAAAACATAACCCAAATCCTTTTTTAGGCATAGTGATCGGAAGCATCGTGGAGAAGTAGCAGACAATCATGCTTTTCTTCCACCGAGAGGATGGAACTCATACGTTCCTTCTATTGGACAATCTCAGAACAAGACTTCTTACAAAGTGCCGAGATTGTCTCTCGTCGTCTCCTCCCCCATGGATACGAGGTATCACTAGCTCAAAAAAAAAAAAAAATAAACAAACCATGCTTCTGTAACATACAAAATGGTAGCTTTTGCTAAGATCATGATCTTGGCCTCTGTAGTACGTGGTAGTGGATTACCTCTGGTATAGAAGAACGGCACCAGGAGCTTCCACAAACTCCCGTGGCTTCGATGTGATCGACGAATGGGGGAGAGTATCCCCTGTTTTTTTTTCTTCCATAGTTGTTGATTGAACTGATCAAGATCCACATCAAAGAGAAAGATCGGTGGATGACTTGATTTCGAGGAGTGATGAAGTTTAACAGATCGTTCTAGAGAAGGAACAGTTTATAGGGCTCATTCGAGAAACCTATCAAAGTTCAAGGATCAAAGTTTTAGCTCTAATAGAGCTCCGGATTAAGCTCTATCGAGGAATTGGGGATTAGGGATCAACTAGGGATTGATCCGGGAAGTTGGGGGATTGAGGATAGAAGAATTTAGGGGATTGGAATGAGAAGAGAGGTGGGGTGGGGGCTGCTGCCGTTCGGCAGCTTGAGAGAGGGAGAGGGAAGGCTCGGCGGCCACTAGAGAGAAGAGAGGAAGAGCAATTAGGATTTAGGTTTATTCTTGCTTGCCATTACCTACGTAAAACAATAGTTTAAATACTAAAACACAATTACCGACTAACTACCCCAACTTATTAATTCCCCAACTATTCCCCAATAACCAAAATAATCCCGAACTAAATAATTCAAACCGACATAAACCCCAAATAAATAAAACGTCTGTCATTCCCGCTCTCTTCAAAACAACCTTGTCCTCAAGGTTGATAGCCTTCTCCTGCATCTTCACCTTCCCTTGCCTCATCCTCCGCCTCGTCTTCCCACCTTCCGACCAGCATCATCAAGTCCGGACGTGCACACTTGTGACCGATCGTGAACCTCTCGTCGCAGTTAAAGCACTTCCCTTCCTGCCTCTTCTGCTGGATCTCTGCCGGGGATAGTCACACAAACCCCTTCGGTGGCGGTCGCGCCCTACCCTTTGCCACCGCTCCTGGCGCTTGCACCGCCGCGGATCCCCCAGCTCCAGCCGTGGCTCCTGCCACTCCTCCTCCTCCACTGCCGACCCCACTACTGCTCCCTGCACCACTAGCCCTCGGATAGCGCCCTATGGTGCTCCTCCAACTCGCAAGCTCCTCTTCCTTGTACCCTGCAAGACGAAAAGCATATTCAAGGAATCCGGTTCAAAGACCCGGATAGCAGCAGCAATCTCCGGCTTCAGGCCTGCCATACACAGCCCCACCAGTGTCTCTTCTGGGACCCCATGGCATTGATTGCCCAGTTTGAAGAACTCCGCACGGTAATCCGCTACTGAGCCGGTCTGCTTAAGCTTGGCCAACTGTTCCGGCGCCCATCCCTCGGATTTACCGAACTGGTAACGTAGCTCCTCCTGAAACAGCGGCCATGTGATCAAGGTTCCCACCGCCCCATACGATTTCTCCATCCATTCCCACCACTGCAGAGCTTCTCCTTCTAAATAGAAGGACGCCAGATGCGCCTTCCTCTCCTCCGGTATGGGGTGGTTTTCTGAACCACCTCTCTGCTGCATACAACCACAACCCGGCATCCTCCTGACCGTTGAATTTGGGAAACTCGATGGTCGGGGGCTTGGCCCTAAAGACCATCCCATCAGTTCCATCATAGGCAGGGTGATATGAACCATACCTGTCATAACCCGGATCACCCGGCTGGTTCTGGTAGAGCGCAGATCCTCTTCCTCGCCCAAAACTGCCCGCGGCACCTCTCCCCATCGGACCCGTCACATTCCCCGCTCCATACGACCCTTGCCACATATTCGGGTCCATGCTGGCCGATCTAACCAACCCCGACCCGAATCGGTTCGGTCCACTTCTGGGTTGGCCCTGTTCAACTCGCCCTGGTTCGCCCCGCCCGGTTCCGCCCCAGCCTGGGTCGGTCAGCCCATGCTCGGCTCGGTGGTTTGACCCGCCTCCTCGGCCCGAACCGCACCCGCCCGGCCCGAACCGCTTCTCCTGCCATGGCCCACTCCGCGCGGCTCGGCCCCCTGTTTGGCCTGGGCCCAAGTAATCCTCAGCACCAGCCGGGTCGGCCCACGATGCAGTCTGGCCCACCAAGCTGAGCTCCTCCTCGACCTGCTCCGGGTCCATGTTCAGCCACCCCAGCCCCCTGGGCTCGTGATAAGAGCCCACAGTATCAGCCCAACCCATTGGCCTAGGCAGCCCATACCCAGTCGGTTGGGCCCCGTTGTCATACCCTGGCATCTTGGCCTTGCCCTTGCGGGCCGCCAACTCCTGGGCCGTCGGTGTCGGTAGCAGCCCAGGTCCGCCGCTGCGTCCTTGCTGACTAGGGCCACTCGCTCGCTTGTGCCAGCTAGGTTGCCCCCGCCGCCCGCGGTCACCACCTCAGCCGCCTCTACCACCACGCCTGCCGCCGCCGCAGGCGCTTCCGCCACCACCACCGCTCCCTTCCGCGCGCCGTCCGCCGCGGCGCTCGCCTCTGCGCCCCCGCCCGCCGACGATTCTCCCGGCCCGCTCCGGCTACCGCCCCCTGCCCCGCCACCGCTGCTGTTCTTTGGCTCGGTGGTGTGCGCGGCGGCCAGCGCCTCCACGACCCTCTGCACCTCGTCGAACCGCTTCCAAACTCTCCGGGACTCCTCCTGTATGCGCCGCTGCTCGCCTTGTTCGCGCCGGATAGCCCGCCATTCCTCGCGCTCCTTCTCGAACTCAGCTACCATGCGATTCACGGTGGTTTGGATCAGCTCCAGCTTCTCTGTCTCGTCCACCAGTTCCCCGTCCAGCGGATCGGAGACCCCATGACCGCCGTCGCCAGCCTCCGGCAGCCCGGTCGAGGCCGTGATCGAGGCTTGCTCCTGCGCCGCCGCCTTGGCGGCCTTCTCAGCGGCTTGCATCGATTTCGTTGATACCATTGCGCTCGTCGTTCTTTGTTCTTGCTTCGATTATGGACTTAGAAGTTAGAACTGTCTATGTTGTGTTTTTTTCTGGGAGTTCAGGGACTTTGTTGATGCTGAGATGATTGGTGGCTCTGGCTCTTGGCAAGTCATGGCCTGACTTGGACATGTTGCCCTTGGGATGGCTTACCAATCCAGGTCGAACCCAAAACAAAAATCCCTCTTCCATTTCTGGATTTCGATTACTTAACTCGCAAGTAACGTTTTTCGCGGCCTTTTTTCAGACTCGAATGATGGACCACATAAACCATCTAGCATCTAGGCTCACTCTAGATGAGCAGAGGACTCAGGTAGGTCAGTTTTCATAATCACTCATGACATAGCTTGGTTGAGTAGTGAAGAAACAATCTGTAATTTATGTGGCTCTTCTGAATTCTGATCAAAAGATGACACTATGGTCCATGGCCAAGTCCCCTCTAATGTTTGGAGGAGACGTTCGTAAGCTCTACGAGAATGCAACATTCGACATCATCACCAATCCCACATTGTTGGAAATAAACCACTTCAGCTCCAACAACTCAGAGGTGAGTAGGCACGTTTCATTGTTTGTTTTTGCCGTAACAGAAACCAGACCCGTTTCAACCCATTCTTCAATTTGCAGGTTCATCTTGCTAGTGGCGACGAAACCAGAGCATGGATCGCGAGTGGAAGAGCAGGTTTGGATCCAAATCTGAAGCTCTGTTATCTTCCCCTTACCACAATGTGCTTATGTTTGTTTTTAAAGAGTCGTTAAAACTATGTGTTGTTGAGTCATTTTTTTCCCAGCTAGGAGATATACCTAGCTTTCTCAACCTTAACAACACACGGGCGATGGTGTCAACAGCTATGTCGGACATAGCCACAGCTCTTCCATGGAAGAGGGTGGTGCGATGATGTCGAGGAAAAGAAGTTTGGAGCGGGAGAAATATGGGTGTTATGAATCGCACGTTGTCTATGGCAGTGGAAGCTCATGGCTCTGCTCTTTTTGTTCTTAATTGTAGCTGAAAAGTGGGAATTTACATGCAAAGTTTATCATTACAATCCTAACCTAACACTTAGGCCGCGTTTAGTATCGATTTGTTGCAGTTGTGGTTGTAGTGGTGTTGTGTAAACAGATGTACAACCACAACAGGAAGAAAAAAAAAACAGAAAACACAAACCTGTTTAGTTGATAATCTGAAAAATAATGAAAGCAGACAACAAGAAACAAAAACGCGTTCAATTACTACTATTAGAATAAAAACCAGAAAAGAGAGGAGGCGGCAGCGGGGGGAAAGGATTCGAAGTCGGCGACGGGAATCGAGAGGAGGAGGCGGCAGGGGTTGCGAGGTCAGGCGACAGGGGAAAGGGAGGCGGCGGGGGCAAAGGGACGAAATCGACGAGGAGGGGGAGATGGACGATATCGGCGGCCTGGGTCTCGAGAGGAAGAAGTTGAGAGAGGGAGAGAGCTATTGGGCGGCGGGTTTGGGAGAAAATGAGGGTAGGGTTGGCCGACTAGGGTTTGGAGGCGGGTTTGGGAGTTAAAAAAAAGAGAAATTTTTTGCTTTAGGTGGGATTCGAAGTGAGGGTTGTTTTAATGAAAACAAACTGGAATCCCGTGTAAAACAGGTACAAGAATCAAATCCAAAGCAATAAATTGTTGTTTCTCAAATTTGGGCCCTGTTGTGCAAATCTGATACACAACAAAAAATAGAAACCCAACTAAACATATTTTTTTTCTTGGTTTCTCCAATCTTGAAAAACACAACAGAAAACAAAAATAGACAAGAATACTAAACGGGGCCTTAGATAAAGAGGTTCTCCATTAGAATGTACTCAATTTTAAATTTCCAACCTTCTGAGTAAATTTAGGAAGGATATTTTTGTCATTTTAATTAAAATCCAAAACAGTTTGTTAATTATACAAATGGAAAAAGTTTGGGTTAATACCTTATTTTCGCCGAACTATAACCATATAATCAGCATTGGTCAGTGGTTTCAGAAATTCCCACCTGACCTCAACTATACACTATACATACTCAATTGGCCCGACTCATGGTTTGGCCGTCAATTTGAACGGTCAACACCGTTGACCGTTAGTCAACGGTCCAGGTCATTGCCATATCAGCACAAAACCAAAAAAAATTCAAAATTCAAAATATTTTATTGTTTTTTATCTAATTAATAAGATAATAAATAATGGAAAAAATAAAATAATTTCGGAACCCACCCCACTATCATCTCCCTACCTTTCTTCTTCCATGTATCTCTGTTTCCACCATTACCAAGAACAGAGTGAATGAGCTCAATCCAAAATCCTCAAAGTCACATTGTCTTCTCTCCAAAACCCCTTCGAAATCGGCGGCGGCGGCAGCTCCCGTGAGGCGGCAACTCCATTATCTGTAATCTCCCCCTTTCAGCCTACCAATATGTTCCCCTTCCCCTGCAAACAAGATTCTCGGCCTCAGATTTAGGATTCGGGATTGGGGCTCGGTCTGAGTGATTGTGGGTTATGGGTTGGTGGCCGAGATGGAGGGTTGCCGATAGACTCGCGACCACTGTTGGGAAGGAAGAAGCTGGGTTCGAGCGATGATGCCACTGAAATAGGTGAAGAGGAAAGCCTGGATTTTGATGGTTCTCGTTGTGGCCAAGCTGCGACAAGAAGATAGCAACGGAGCTTCCATCTCCGCCGAGCGCCTCTCTCATTTGCCTCTTCTGCCACCGACTGAAACCAGAAAGAGAATCGAAATGTCTGAAATGGGCAAGAAGAAGAAGAAGAACAAGAAGCAGGGGAAGGGAAGAAAGACCCAAGAAGAGACTTTTGGTTATATGGGTTTTTGCAATTGGGGTTAGTATTGCAGTTGGGTATGTTAGAGAGAGGGTTGGGAAAGGGATCGTCGGGGAAGGAAGGTTGGGTGAGGTATGGGGATGTGTGGGCCGAGTGAGGAGAGAGAATGAAGATTTTTATTTTATTAAATTATTAAATTTTTATTTTTCACATGGCATCCACGTTAGAGTGGCATGCTGATTCACTAACGGTACCGTCTAATTTGATGGAAATTCACGAGTCAGGCCTATTGAATATATATGCTGCATAGTTGAAACCATGATGTTAATTTCTGAAATCACGAGCCAACATTTTTTTATGGTCATAGTTCGGGTCAGAATAATATATTAACCCAAAAAGATTTCGGTCAGATATTTTGCTCAAACCAATTATTATATTATTATTTCTAGTCAGGAAAGATTAGTTGAGGGTTGTGACTCTCTATGTAGGAATAGTTTCTTATTTAATTTTTTATTATTATAAGGTTAAGTGTTTGAGATAAAGTCTTATATATATCTTTGCTAATTAACTAATTCTTAATAACTTAACAAATCAAATACTTTTTTATTATAATTTTGGATTGGAGGTTTTCAATAACACATATACAAAATAAAAAATTCAAACGCGTTAATGAGAATTGTTTTTTTATAGTTAATGAGAATTGTTAATGACAAGGATTATAATTATCAATATCAATGATTTTTAATTAATTATTAGTTTATTCCTCAACTCTTCTTTTGGGTATTGGTTTTCTCTCAGAGTAATAAAATGTAGATCACAATCTCCATATAAAGACTAGAATTTCAAAGTTTAAATCCAATAGCTAGATAATTTCTTTCCTAGGTTTTTTTCGGGAAACGATAAAACATATGAGATCATACCACCTTACATCTAGGTTTGTAATGTATAATTTTTTTACCATAGCGGCAAATTGGCAACTCCGTTTTCTTTCCTTTTTTGTAATTTTTTTTCTCCATAACTTCACTTGATTTTGATCAAATATTGATGAGAGAATTAGTGTGATGATAATGCTTATCAAAACATCCTTTGACACAAACATATTATTTTTCATATTATTACTGCTTCAGTATTATATTGAGTTTTAGTTTAATTCATACTATTATTGAGTACTACATTTATTGATTCTACATCTCGAAAATATATTCACCTTTGAGAATTATCTTTTTGAAAAAACAGTGTTCAGCTTGCACATATCTCAAGAGCTATAGTTAAGGGGACAAAATTTTGGTGTGTAACCTTTATAGTTACAGCTTGCACATTTCTCAAGAGATATAGTTAAGGGGTTTTCAATTTCTCCCAAATTTTGGCGAACTATATCTCATTTGTTTCAACACTGATTTATAATGGGTTAGAAAAATCATATTTATTGGAACTTGCCAAAGAAAAATTGAAGAAGGCTATGATGAGTAATTTTATAAGAATTATACAACCACGTCAAAGAAAATAGTAGTTAGGTAACAATCTACATCTACTCTTCTATTGTTTTTAACTTCAACTTCATTCATTAGAAAGAAAATAGCGTACCCACTTAACCATAAACTTTTCAATCAAATGATATATTCAATTGTTGTTATTTATAGATCCACGATTATTTGTGAGTTGTAGTCAACATTTGTTTAGTCTAACTTTATTGTTCTGTATCGCATGAAGTTAGATTTTATGGAATGTATATTGAGAAACTACTCAAAGATTGTGACAAAATGAGAGAACATTCACCTTCTCATTTCATACAAAGCGAGAGCATGAAGTTAAATCTTTAGTCAAGCTCACTTATTACAACATTATGAACCCCATAAGTGGGTACACAGTTTTGTAGAAAATAAATGACGAAGAAGAAACATCTCAGACAAAGTTAATGACATGTACGAGTAAATTTAAATTCTTGGAAATAGAGTTTCACAATTAAAAAAATGTTGCCACTAATTTTTACATTCAGTAAAATGCAGGAGAAGAAGGAAGAGTATGTTAATAGCAGAGGTAGTTAATTCAGTGATGGTAATAACATCATTATTGAGATAAAGAAAGAGATTATTGATGGTGGATGTAGAAATATCCATGATGAAAGAAAATAACGAATGGTTGATAATATTTATGATTTGTATAAGGTGAAATTCTACTACCGTGAATAGATGTTTCACATTTATGTACATTTTACCATTAAAATTAGGTTTTAATAAAATGCAGGAGAAGGAAAAGACTATTGATGGTGAATATAAATTTTCATTAATAAATATGAAATGGTGTGGAGAAGATGCTTTTGATGCCGGAGCAATCAAAAAGAAATCCAAAAGGAAATTCGCAGTAATTTTTAACAACAAAGAGTAAATTGAAGTGTGTTTTGGTTGCTAGCATGAGTTGTGTTGTTTACTTTTGATAATGAATTTTATCCATGAATGATCAAGATGTAGTAAAGATTTATATTATTTTTTTATATTTTTAGTTATTGAATAATTTGAATTCTTTTATGGTACCAAATAAATTATTCTGGCAATTATATTAATGTTTATAATATTTATCCGACCAAAGGGCGGGCCAAACTCTAGTACCATTAAAATTAGGTTTTAATGAAATGCAGGAGAAGAAGGAAAAAACTATTGATGGTGAATATAAATTTTCATTAATAAATATGAAATGGTGTGGAGAAGATGCTTTTGATGCCGGAGCAATAAAAAAAATACAAAAGGAAATTCACAGTAATTTTTAACAACAAAGAGTAAATTGAAGTGTGTTTTGGTTACTAGCATGAGTTGTGTTGTTTACTTTTGATAAAGAATTTTATCCATGGATGATCAAGATGTAGTAAAAATTTATATTATTTTTTTATATTTTTAGTTATTGAATAATTTGAATTCTTTTATGGTACCTGTTTGAGCCTCGACGCCTCGCCAACACGTCCACGTCTACTTTGCCTGGCGTCAGCCTATACACACGAGCACGGAGGGGGGCGCCTGGGCTCGTTAGCCCTCCGACGATCAAGTCAGTCTCTTCCTAGAAAGAGAAGTGCTTAGAGAAAGAGGTTTTGTAGAGAGTCCAACCTGTGTAAATGCTACCAACTGCCCTTATTTATACTCACCGAGCTCAAGGTGGATCTCCTCCACGTCACCGTCACATTAAATGCTTTGTACTTACCCTCCTATCATAAGCCTCAACCACCTTGTCAGGCTTCTGAGGACTGGCAAGCGCCTACAGGCGGGGGACCACTTGCCAGCGTGGACTTCTTTGGCCCTTAGCGCTTTGTCTCCGTACCTATGCTGCCTGGTATGAAGTGGGCTTTGCGAGCTTCTTCTCCTGGCCCACTACATAGGGCTAGCTTCAACTGAATGGGCTCTCTCTTGGGCCCTCTTTTGGGCCCCTTTAGTGGTACCCCCAACAATTGCCCCCAGTTAGGCGCTCATGGCCCCTCAGTTGAGTGCCTAACTAACCCCTCGGTCAGGGAGCTTCACATGCGTCACAACCTCTCGATGGGCGCAAGTTACCCCTCTAAGTATAGCTCTCTGACGCCCGCATCCTTGTAATCATCCAATGTTCGTCCCGCGTCCGGGTGCCCGTTCGTGTGACTGAATCTTCTTAGGTTCATGCCCCCTTTTCGAAAGGCGCCCTACATTCTGAATTCTAACGGGCGCCTTCTTTGCGGTTATGACCTGGGTCGCGCTATGGGATTGACGCCTGATCAGGGCGCCTGGGTGCCCCCCTCACGGGCGGGAATTTGAGCCTTTACTTTACGATATTCTTTAAATTCCAATTTCGAAATTTGAAAATCAAAATTTGAAATTCAAAAAACGTGGGAAGCTCAATGGTCCGCCCGTGATTTGGTGACACGTGGCAGGTGGCGTGATCTTCGATACGCGCCCTTCCTCCCTTTCAATACCCCCAGCCTCGCTTCTCTTTCACTTTCCTCAATTCACTCTCTCTCTACATCTTCTCTCTCCCTTCTCTCTAGATTTGCTCTGCCCTCTCTCTACTTTGAAGCTCTCCGCCGTCGACCTTTTCTTACCCACTTCGCAATCAAATGGCTTCTCCTCAAGACCAAACTTCCGATGCGGGCGCCTCCGAGGCTGGCGCCTCACCCAACCACTCATCTGGCAATGAAGCGGGCGCCACCCCCCTCGCCCTGCACACTCTGGTGCAGGCGCCTCCAACTGCCCCTCTGTTTCTGGTAAGTGCCCTGTCGTGGACTTCTAACTCTTCTTGTAGTTTTTATTTTATTTTAGGCATGAGCGAGATTCTTACCCCAACTTGAAATTGTACGTCTGGTTCGTTTTTGGTTTAGAAAGGACGCCTGAATCTGCGGGAGGAGCGAGCGCCTCCACTTTGGGTTACATGCCTGCTGATGGTTCTTATAAGATCACTACTTGGGAGAAGGCGTTCCCTCTTGATCATTTGCCCACCGATACCACCGGCCTATCATTCGAGGAGGCTGGCCCGGAACATCAATCGACAGTGACCCTGGCGCGAGTGCATGAATTGGTGACCAGCCTTCAGCTCCCGCGTGACTGGTGATACGCGCCTCCGTCACCCATCTCTAGGGTTGGTGTGTGCGGACCCAAATGGATAGGAGTTTACCAAGAATACTTTAGGTTTGGGTTGCGCTTTCCCATAAACCCCATCCTGGAAGGGATTCTGACGATGTGCGAGTGCCCGTTGGGGCGCCTATCACCCTCAGTGATGGTGGTGGTGACGTTGTTTAAGTTGAAGTGCCAGGTGCACAACGTGAGACCCACCTTCAACCTTTTCAGGTGGTTTTTCAGCATGGCGCCACTTAACAACTGCCTCTCCCTGCAGAAGCGCTCCAAACTCCCATATCACTTCGTGGTTAGGTGCCCCAAGCTGGGGCGTAGTTTGTTCAACATATTTTTCTTTGTGAAAGCCTACCAAGACTCCTCTTCGAAAGTGGGGGCGCCTTTGTGAGGCGCTGGGCAGCATTGAGGGCTTCAACTCGAAGGTCCATCTCTCGTCCGACGATACTAGAGGCGACCAGCTTATTAGCACGCACCCGATAAACCTTCGCATCACTGAGAATCGAATTAGAGTATTGGAGGAATTTTACAACTATGGTGTGTGGGCGCCTCTCAGTAGCTACTTTGGCTCCCCTTTGTGCACTCTGTGTTAATCTTTTGCATTTGTATTTGCAGGATCGAACTTCAGTTCCATCGGTAAGCTGATCAAGAGCCGGCTGGCCATGATGGCGGCCGGGGCGCCTGCTACCGCTGGTGCCACTAGTACTCAGGCGCCCACACCCCCGGCTCCCAAGAAGGGTAGGCCAGCGAATAAGGCCCCCACAAAGGCCCCGTCCAAGGCGCCTGTGTGCGCCCAGACTGCGAGTTTGGCGTCCCCCGCCCCTGAACCGGACGCTGGGGAGCCCGCCTTCGACCCCACTCCCGATGCCGGGGAGTCAGAGGAGGAGGCTCCTCCTCTAGTTAGGAGGGAAAAAATAGCGGGCTCCCCCCTTCCTCGTGGTGGGAAAAAAGCTCGCGAAAGCGACAAAGGGAAGGGCAAGTCCGCGGCCCAATGCCCTGATGAGGAGCAAGGCGCCCGCGTTCATCTAGACGAAGAGGGGCGCTTCGTTGGCCCTGATGGGCGCCCGTCTGTTCTTGAGCCGCTGCGGACTGAGGTCGGGCGCATCTCCCTCCCCTATTCTCCACTGTCCACGATAGACCGCGAGTGCGCCATGGGATTGGCAATATCTGCCGCCTAGATGTGGCAGGTGCCTTCGGATGTCAATGGAGACCACCTTTTTGCAGCGCTGGCCCAAGTGGGCACCATGGTAACTTTACAAGTTGTCATATTTCATCAAGTTTGCCTTGCATTCTTTTTATGTAGTCTTTTTATGTGTCTGACTCCTTGGTGTTGCTGGCACAAATCCTCCTTTTCGCGGAGAGAGGCGCCCGACGGTTGTTAGAGTCGAAGGAGGAGGCGTTGGCAGCCTCGAGTTCGGCGTCCGCTCTGAAGTAGGACTTGGAGACGGCGTCCAAGCGCCGCGAGCAGCTGGTGCAAGAGTGTGAAGACGCCCAGCTGAAAGCGGCCATGGAGCTGTCGCGGCAGCAGGGCGCCTTGGAGAAGTAGCGCCGCAAATGCGAGGCGAAGTTCAAAGAGGAGCAGAGGGGTTTGCTGGAGAAGGTGGCCAACCTCGAGGCCAAGAAGGAGGAGTTGTCGAAGGAGGTGGGCGCCCAAGCCAGGGAGATAGACCTTCTCAACGAGGAGAAGGGTAGGATTCGGGACGGCCAACGGGAGAGCAGGAAGGCGTTGAAAGCAGCCCGCAAGTAGATTGCGGGTCTGAAGACTTCTCTTGATACATTCGATGAGTCTGAGGCCGGCAAAAACTTGTTTGCAAACACCTGCCTCACCATCCTGGGCATCTTGAAGAAGAAGCTCGACCAAGACCATCCAGACCAGGTTTGGGATGTGTCGGAGATGGTCGAGTTTGTGATTTAAGACATGATGGTCGCTGAGGAGGAAGGTAGGGCACCCACGACACCAGCAGCAGACACGCCTCCCTCTCCTGAAGACCAGGCGCCTCCCCATCCCCAAGAGCAGGCGCCCCAGACTGCGGATGCTACTTCCGAGGCCGAATGATGCCTCTATTGTGATATGTCCTTTTTGGTTAAGTTTTATGGACAATCTTAAGTTTAAATTTCTCGACTTTTTATGCATTGGTGTTGTTTGACATTCTGCGTATATGTAGGGCGCTAGTTGTGGGCGCTTTTAGGGGCGCGTTCATCGGGCGCGTTATACCCGGTTTGTAGGGCGCGTAGCTGGGCGCTTTGACGGGTCTTAGAATGAATTGCAACTTCGCTAGGACATAGGGCGCGAGATCGGGGGCTTTAGACGTTCTAATATAATTGTGACTAATTTCAACACAATCATTCTGAGTCATTGGGCTCAAAGTTGGGCGCTTTAACCAGTACAAAATTTGCAGACATAACATGAAGTCGTGATCGGGGCGCTAAAACACTGGGCGCTTTGGACACGATACGACGCTATTACTATGGGCGCTTTAGTCACAATACAAGCGCGCTTACACACTTGGTTACTATAAACAAACACTTACTACTATTACTGCATTGTATCATCACTGCCTGTGGTCAAGTGGAGGTGCTCGCTCCTACTGCGGCGCCATCCTGGTAAAGTCGTAAGGTTTGCGCATTCCATGTTCTTTTCACCACCTTGCCGTCAGTGTGCTCTAGCTTGAACGTTCCGGGACCTACCACCTCGCGGACTCGATATGGGCCCTTCTATTTCGGTGCCAACTTCCCCTCGCGGGCGTCCGGGCGAAAATCACGCTTGAGGACCAGGGCGCCGTTGGTAATGCCATGGGGACGCATCTTCTTGTTGTAGTATCGGGCCACCTGTCGCCTCATCTTCTCTAGGAGGATTGCCGCACCTCCCTTGTCGTTTGGTTCATAATTGACAACACGGTAACTTGGGAGGTTGACCTGAACTGGGATGACAGCCTCATTGCCGTAGGTTAAGGCGAAGGGTGTTTCCCGGGTGGCAGTCTTGTAAGTCGTGCGATGAGCCCACAACACGTTTGGCAGCTCCTCAACCCATCTACCCTTGGCGCCGACCAACCTGGTGTGCAACCCTTGAAAGAATGCTTTTGTTGGCCGCCTCGGCTTGACAGTTTGCTTGTGGGTAAGCCACCGATGAGAATCTTAACACGACACCATTGTCATCGCAAAACTCCAAAAATTTCTTGCAGTCGAACTGCTTTCCATGGTCTGTGAAAATGGACTCAGGCAAGCCAAAGCGAGTGAATATATTCTTCTTGGTGAACTTTCACACCTGGGTTTCTGTGACTGTGGCTAAAGGTTCTGCCTCGGTCTATTTGGAGAAGTAGTCAACTGTCACTATCAAATACTTCATTTGGCCTGGCGCCTTGGGGAAAGGACCCATGAGATCCATGCCCCATTGAGAGAATGGTCAGGCTCCCACATTGCCTGGCATGGGCGCCGCCGGGATGTGAATGTCATTGGTGGCAAGCATCCACATGTGCCTTTGCATCCCTTCTCATCGTTGGCTAGTAAAATCATTGCCTTAACAGCGTTTTCTCCAAACTTCTCGCCCCCCGCGTGCATGCCGCACGTTCCGCTATGGACCTCCTCGATTTCCCCCTGCTCTCCTCTTCGTCCAAACACCGCAAGTATGTTCCCTCATGGGATCTTTTGTACAACTTACCCTCGATTATGGCACATCGTGCTTTCGTCGGAGTCGCCAAGCTTCTTTGGGATCATCAGGCACCACACCCTAGGTAAAAAACTACTCAATTGGGGTCATCCAACCGATGGCGCCGCCCGCGCCGTAAAGGGCGGTGATCAGTTGTTCTTGGGGTGCCTTCGTGGCGACTATGACTTTCCTATCCTCCGCGAAGTCCACCAGTGTTTCTAGCTTAGACAAGGATTCTACATGGGCGTTCTCCTCGCGTGGGACGTGAACAAAACAGACCTTGCTGAACCAGGCTCCCGCCTCTCGTACTTTTCGCACATACCATTCAAGCGCCTCTTGACTCACTTCTCTGTCACCCCAGGAATTGGCCAAGTGAAACAACTTCCTAAAGCGTGGTATAACGGGTTTAGGTTTAATTATCAACCCGGGTCCTAGATTTGATGACTACTCAGTGAATTCTTGTTATCTAGCAATGAAACTTTAATGCAAGTCTAAACTAACAAACTAACAAGCAAGTAAACTGTTGTATTCAGGTTAAGAGAGGTCACCCGGATATGGTTCCCCCTAGACTGCAGTTAAGCCGGATTGCAATTACCAAGTTCAGTTTCTATGATGGTTATACTTCGGAAGGTTCTCAAACAGCCTAAAGTCTCGACTAAAGGTCTTCAGACCCTCTCAATCTGAGTCTCTAGCGGGCGACTAACCTCCACCGGAGTAAACAGATTGAGGCCTTAACAAACAAAACCTCCACTACCGGAGTGAATCCGTTACAGAATAGTGAGTTGGCTCCTCGACTAAAGTCACCAACTCGCTACCTTCAATCAAGGATGCTCTATCAACCTAGGCAGATATTCTCATTCTAGGTTAAAGCATAAACAACAGGAATTTGATCAGGATTCAAGTCATTCAATCATTCAAACCTCAATCGAATATAATCAAATCATAGAATCAGTACTTGGGTTCATACAATCAAATCCTAACATACAAATCTAGGGTTCTCCATACCCAGATGATTGGGAGAACTACTCCATGGAGAAAGAAGCAAAAGCAGAATCAGACGCGGAATTCATACTGTGAAGGATGGATTCCTGCTTCTGGACGTTGATCGGCACTTCTCCAAGCTCAAAATGGCCTCCAATGGTGTTGAAGATCAAGCTAGGGCACTTGGAGACTCTTGTTCATCACTTTCTCTCTCTAGGAATCCCTCTGTCTCTCTAAAACTCGAATCCCCTCGACTTGTGGCTGGAAATTGGCTTAAACCCAGAAAATCCCGACTCGCACGGGCAGGCCACACGGTCGTGTGGCTCACCCAGTTGCCCGTGTGAGTCAAAACGCAGCGCATCAATTAGTTGAATTCCAGGCTTCTTACACGGCCAGGGACACACGGCCGTGCGGCCTGCCCAGCCTGGCCGTGTGAAGCCTCGCAGAATTCCACACGGCCAAACTGGTCACTTGCACGGCCGTGCGGGTTGTAGGTGTGCCCGTGCGACTTCCTTTGTGACTTGCCTCGCGCCTGATCTTCGCCCAATCGACCCGAACTCGCTCCTAAACCTTCATTCACTTGCCAGGACCTGAAATATCACAAACAAGCACAACCTAGCGTGAAATCGGTCTAAAACACGAGAAACCACATCTTAAACGGTGTAAGAACAGGGGTGAAAACATGTGTAATTAACGGTCTATCAAACTCCCCCACACTTAACCGTTTGCTTGTCCCCAAGCAAACCTAACTCAAACCAATGCAACTCTCCAGACCTCTATAGCAACAAACAACCCAGATCGTAGGTAGAGGACTTCCTAGATCATTTAGCAGCTTACGAGGTCCACCGACGCACAAGTCATCTCATAGCTTCTTCGGCGAGAACGCTAGTCTCGAGTCGGAATCATGGCAAATAGTGAACAGAGGACAAATGAATTGTGGATGAAGAGATTCTCAAAAACAGAGGATCATGGACTCACATTTTTCAAGGTGCTCTATTTTCTTCTTAAAGATGGTAGGAACCCCTTTTCTTTCTGCTTTGCTTGTTTTCTGTTATTTTTTTTTCTTTTTTTTTCTTTCAAGGGTCCCAACCTGCTCTTACCGGCCACGCCAGGAGCGGATGTCTCGATCCTCGTGCGGGGGAAAGACATGTAAGGGGGCTGGAGGTAGTAGGTAGAAATTGGGAATGAATTCCCGTCTCCCCTTACACACTTTCGCCCTATTCGCACGGGAGACGTTATTTTGAAGCACATTTTCGAGCACCTGTTAAACTCAAAACATGAAACAAGAGTCCATGACAGGCAGAGAGTCCACAAAACCACACAATTCAAGGGTCCTAAGATCACTAATTCACTCAATCAACCAACACAATATGAAGAAGAAATGAGACTTCTTAAATGCATCAACATCCTCCATAGTGCTACACTACCTCCCTAGGTTGCATATTACTATAAAGACTGTCAATTCAAAGCATACTGAGCAGGCAATTGCATGGAAACACGTACTTGGAGCCCTCAAATTTTAAAAATTTGGACAGTGGACTAGGCTCCAAGCACACAAACATATCTAATGCGGTCAAAAGATAAACATCCCCCCACACTTAAGATCGACATTGCCCTCAATGGAGAAGAGGGAAGGAAAAGGGGAATGATGTTACCGGTGTGCACAGACTACATTAGACTGGAAGCGGACCCGCCGAGTGAAGCGGACTGGGAAGGGACCAGTCTGGAACAAAGCACAGCTAAAGGGGAACAGAAGAGCTCAAACACAATATGTTAGGTCCAATGTCAGCCCAATAAGACATCATCCAAAACAAAAGAAAACAAACCAAAACCAAAGACTCAAAACACAAGAAAGAAAGTCAAACCGTGGTGGGGTTGCCTCCCCACAAGCGCTTCTTTACCGTCTTTTAGCTGGACGCCCATGGTGGATACTCAGGGAGGTGAAGGAACAGGTGCCTCTAAGAGCGGATCCACGTCGCTCTTGAGGTACAGCTTCAGGTTGTGGCCATGCACCCGACGGATGCGACCACCATCATCGGTCAGCTCGACCTGGCCATCCGGCAAGATGCAGGCGAGTGAGTACCCGGACGGCCAGGGTGGTCGTGGTGCAGGAGGTGGGACCAGCTCATAGTGGTCTCCACTCTTCTTCCGTGCAGGCTTAGCAACCTGCTGCTTCGGCCGCCACTCCTCCTTGAGCTTTTTGTTCGGAGGCGAGGCTGGATGGAGTGGCGGCAAAGGAATGATAGGAGGGTCCTGCAAAATAAAAGGTGCAGAAGGATACACGACAGGCTCGTGTACCTGATCAGAAATGGCATGTACAGGCGTGACAGCAATCATAGCACAGTGATCAAATTCAGTCACAGAAAAAGTAGCTTGTTCATTCCCAGCACGCAGGATCAGTTTACCATCATGCACATCAATAAGTGCCTTGGCGGTGGCAAGAAATGGTCTACCTAGAATCAAAGGTACATCCACATCCTCATGTATCTCAAGAATAACAAAATCAACAGGATATGTGAATGCACCGACACTGACAAGCAGATCCTCTATGATCCCCCTAGGATGCACAATGGAACGATCAACCAGCTGAATGCTCATCCTAGTAGGACTAAGTTCACCTAGGTCTAGCTTTTTGTACAACTTATATGGCATGACAGTTATGCTAGCGCCTAGGTCCGCCAAGGATTTGCCTACATGCATGCTGCCAATAGTAAGAGGGATAGTAAAACTCCCTGTATCCTTGCGCTTTTCGGGTAGCTTGTTCTGTAGGATAGCAGAACACTCCTCGCTCAGCAACACTGTCGAGAGATCCCCAAGTTTCTTCTTGTTGGTGAGGAGATCTTTCATGAACTTGGCATACTTGGGCATCTTCGACAGTGCCTCCACGAACGGTATGCTGATGTTGAGCTGCTTCAACATTGCCATAAAATTGGCAAACTCAGTCTCCAGCTTATCTTTGTGTAGGCGAGTGGGGAAGGGAAGCTGGGGTACATGCTCCTTAACCACTGGTTGTGGCTTGGGAGCAGGGGCTTCCTTCTCCACCCACACTTCTGCATCGTCGGCTGGAAGTGCTGAAGCAGGTAGTGGTTCCTCCTATCTGGCCGGGACAGGATCAGCAGATATGGTCTTACCACTCCTGGTAAAAATGGCATCCAGCTGCTGGAGCTGGTGAGGATCCCGAGGATTCGGGATAGTGGTGGCAGGCAGAGTCCCCGGTGCCCTGGTAGTGTTTTGGCGGGCCAAGATGCCCACCTGGGTCTGCAGATCTTGCAAAATGGCACCCTAGTTCCGCTGACCTGCCTACAGTGACGTGATGGCAGCCTGAGTGCTAGTCATGAATGAAGCTAGAATATTTTCCAACTTTGTCATCCGGTCATCTGGGGCAGGGGCTGCTGCTGGCTCGACAAACTGACGCTGGGGCTGTTGGAATGGTTACCCATGCCTAGGCTGGTAGGGCTGCTGCTGTGGGGCTGGCCCCTGTCGAGCCTGGAAGGGCTGCCTCTGCTGAAAACCACCTGCTGGTGCTGGGAAACTAGGTGGTTTAGTGGTGTTGCTGCTCCAGGCAAAGTTGGGATGCTGGCGCCACCCCTCATTATATGTGTTGCTGTACGGGTCGAGGCGCCGAGCATTGGCGATGAAGTCCAACTGCTCTTGGGGAGTGGTAGACTCCCTCATAGCCTGGCAGTCCTCCACTAAGTGATTCGAGCTCTCACACCACTGACATTGAGCAACTGGAGGTGTAGCCAAACCTCTGCCCGGAATAAGACTGTTGGGCTGCTTCAATGTCTGCACTAGCTCAGCTACCTGTTGCTCGAGCCCGGATCTGGTCTCCATGGCGTGCACACCACGGTCCCGGGAATGTCTGGCTCGGCTACCCTGTCCCCAAGAATGATCTCTGGCAGCCAAATTACTGATCATCTGGTTCAGCTCGGGTGGAGTCTTAGTAAGAATATCCCCTCCTGGGCATAGAGACTCAATCACCCTCTGGCTATCTGGAGAGATAGCACTGTAGAAGTTCCCCACTGTGAAAGCATCACTAAAGCCATGATGGGGACACTGCCAGAAATATCCCATGTACCGCTCCCATGCATCACGAAGTGACTCATCTGGCTCTTGGCGGAAGTGAGTGATCTCCCGCTGGATCTCTGTAGTCTTCGATGCCGGATAGTACCTGTGCACAAATTTGTCAGCCAGATCGTCCCAAGAGGTGATGGACAATGGGGGCTGGGTCTCCAACCACCTCTTAGCATTCCCCGCCAGAGAATGGGGGAAGAGATGAAGGCGGATTGCATCATCAAGAACACCATTCAGCTTGAACCCGTTGTCAGCTGCAGAAAACGGGAAAGATGCACCCTGGCCTCCTCATCCTTCAAGCCATAGAACTGGATAGAAGATGTAATGAGCTGAATCCAGCATGGCTTGATCTCGAAGTTGTTTGCTGGAATAGGCGGGTAGAGGATGACCGGGCGGATGTCAGCAATCCGCGGAGTGTAGTAGTACTCCAAGGTGGGACCCGGCGGTGGGTGATGATGATGAGCCCCATGATCCTGGGGTATGGGGTTGTTTCCCAGGACCTGATTCACCGGGGGAACCTGCTGCAGATTCCCCTGGTGTTGATTGTAGTCTCCGTCCATACCGTACTCTTCTTCAGAATCGCTACTCAGGTGGCCGTCTATGCGCTCTTCCGTAGCCAGTCTAGCTCGCTGTTGTCTCCTGAGCTGGCGACAGGTGCGGTCAATCTCTAGATTCAACGGCAGTAAACCTCCTGACTGGCTGCGGGTCATGCACTACCTGCACACACTCAAGCAAGCAAATCCGTGAAGGCACAAGTGGGACAAAGCAAACAAAGCAAAAAGAAAAGCTAAATTAACAGAAATCGCTTTTCTTCAACAACCTAGCCGTCCCCGGCAACGGCGCCAAAAACTTGACTCACTTCTACTGTCACCCCAGGAATTGGCAAAGTGAAACCACTTCCTAAAGTGTGGTATAGCGAGTTTAGGTTTAATTATCAACCCGGGTCCTAGATTTGATGACTACTTAGTGAATTCTTGTTATCTAGCAATGAAACTTTAATGCAAGTCTAAACTAACAAAGCAAGTAAACTGTTGTATTCAGGTTAAGAGAGGTCACCCGGATATGGTTCCCCCTAGACTGCAGTTAAGCCGGATTGCAATTACCAAGTTCAGTTTCTATGATGGTTATACTGCGGAAGGTTCTCAAACTCAAACAGCCTGAAGTCTCGACTAAAGGTCTTCAGACCCTCTCAATCTGAGTCTCTAGCGGGCGACTAACCTCCACCGGAGTAAACAGATTGAGGCCTTAACAAACAAAACCTCCACTACCGGAGTGAATCCGGTACAGAATAGTGAGTTGGCTCCTCGACTAAAGTCACCAACTCCCTACCTTCAATCAAGGATGCTCTATCAACCTAGGCAGATATTCTCATTCTAGGTTAAAGCAGAAACAACAGGAATTTGATCAGGATTCAAGTCATTCAATCATTCAAACCTCAATCGAATATAATCAAATCATAGAATCAGTACTTGGGCTCATACAATCAAAGCCTAACATACAAATCTAGGGTTCTCCATACCCAGATGATTGGGAGAACTACTCCATGGAGAAATAAGCAAAAGCAGAATCAGACGCAGAATTCATACTGTGAAGGATGGATTCCTGCTTCTGGACGTTGATCAGCACTTCTCCAAGCTCAAACTGGCCTCCAATGGTGTTGAAGATCAAGCTAGGGCACTTGGAGACTCTTGTTCGTCACTTTCTCTCTCTAGGAATCCCTCTGTCTCTCTAAAACTCGAATCCCCTCGACTTGTGGCTGGAAATTGGCTTAAAACCAGAAAATCCCGACTCGCACGGGCAGGCCACACGGCTGTGTGGCTCACCCAGTTGCCCGTGTGAGTCAAAACGTAGCGCATCAATTAGTTGAATTCCAGGCTTCTTACATGGCCAGGGTCACACGGCCGTGCGGCCTGCCCAGCCTGGCCGTGTGAAGCCTCGCAGAATTCCACACGGACAAACTGGTCACTTGCACGGCCGTGCGGGTTGTGGGTGTGCCCGTGCGACTTCCTTTGTGACTTGCCTCGCGCCCGATCTTCGCCCAATCGACCCCGAACTCGCTCCTAAACCTTCATTCACTTGCCAGGACCTGAAATATCACAAACAAGCACAACCTAGCGTGAAATCGGTCTAAAACACGAGAAACCACATCTTAAACGGTGTAAAACAGGGGTGAAAACATGTGTAATTAACGGTCTATCACCTCTTCCTTTACGTCAAAGACTCCATTGAGTTGATTAACGTCAAGAGCCGAATCGGCCTTGAAAAGTATCTTGTGGACGCCCAGCTCCTTTGCCATACTGATGCCGGCAATAACTGCTTCGTATTCTGCGGCGTTGTTTGTTTTCAGGGTCGCAAATCGCAATGCGACTTCGTGCATTGCCCCCCCCCCTTGGGCTGATAATTACGATGCCTGCCCCGGCGCCGTTGTGACCGGCCGCCCCTTCGACCTGGACTTGCCAGCAGTCATCTACTCCCCGTTCGACCTCTGTTACTCCTTCCGCAACGAAGTCTGCCAGAACCTGAGCCTTTATCGCTGGTCGAGACGCATACCGAATGTCAAACTCACTTAGTTGCACCGCCCATTTGACGAGGCGCCCAGCCACATCCATTGACCCCAAGGTTGACTTCAGTGGCAGGTTAGTGAGCACTACGATGGTGTGTGCCTGGAAGTAGGACCTCAGCTTGATTGTCGCCATCACCACCGCCAACGCGGCCTTCTCGATGGGCGCATATTGCCTTTCATGTGCGACCATGGTACGACTAACATAGTACACCACCTTGTCTTCCCCGGAGGGGGCCTCCCTTGAGACAAGTACAACGCTTACTGAGATGTCTGAGACGGAAATATAGAGATACAGCGTCTCTCCAACTTTGGGCGCCGTCATGACGATCGGGGCAGCTAGAAGTTGCTTCAATTCTTCGAACGCTCCATTGCACTCAGCATTCCATTGGAAACGCACTGCCTTCTTGAGCGTTCGGAAAAAAAGGAGCGGCCTTATCAGCTGATCTTGGGATAAAGCGCCCCAGGGCCGCTAACCTTCCCGCCAAGCCTTGCACTTCTTTAGGCGTTGTTGGGGGTGTGAGTTTGAGGATAGCGTCCACCTGCCGTGGGTTGGCTTCAATGCCTCGCTTAGTGATCATGAACCCCAAAAATTTCCCTACTTCAGCGCCGAACACACATTTGAGGTGTTGAGGCGAAGCCTATGCGCCCGCATGGCCTGGAATGTTTCTCGCACGTCTTCGAAGTGATCCTCACGTCTACGACTCTTGACTATCAAGTCGTCCACATAGGCCTCCACATTACGACCGATTTGTTTGCGGAAAACGTTGTTGACCATTCTTTGATAGGTGGCACACTCATTTTTTAGTCCAAACGCCATGACCCGATAACAAAAGTTCCCGAAGAGTGTCATGAAAGCTGACTTGCTCGGTCCTCCTCCGCCATGGGGATCTGATGGTACCCGGAGAACGTCCACAAAGTTTAGCATTTCGTGATATGCCGTGGAGTCCACCAACTGATCTATGCGGGGCATCGGGTAAGCATCCGTGGGGCATGCTCTGTTAAAGCTCGTATAGTCCACGCACATTCTCCAATCTCCTGACAGTTTTGGCACGAAGACCACATTCGACAACCAAGTGACACAGGCAATTTCTTCGACCAAATTAGTGCCTAGTAGCTTGTCTACATCGACCCTAAGCGTCGCTTCCTTCTCTGGCGATAGGTTCCTGCGTTTTTGTTGCATTGGTCGCCTGTCTTCTTCGACTGCCAACTTATGTACGACTGTCTCGGGTGCGACGCCCGGCATTTCCATAGTATTCCACGCGAAAAGTTCCGCGAACTCTTTCAGAAGGGCAATCAGGCACTCTCTCATTTCACTTGGTGCCTCTGCCGATATCTTCATCTGCCTTTCCGCGCGCCCTTCGTCCAAAGCTACCAAAAGTTCTTCGTCGGCAGCTTCGGCTCTAGGCGCCTCCTCTGCCACGGTTTCCATCACATCGACCCTTGCTCCGGTACATCGCCGCTTCTGCCCTGCTTCTCTTGCGTAACGCAGGGCGCCCCGTCCCCGGGCTACTCCCACTCCTTGCAGAGCGATAAATTTCAAGTTCTGGTGACAAGTAGAGGCCACCCCATTGAACAAGGCTAGGAGGGGCCTTCCCAGCATCGCATTTTACGGTGATGGACAGTCCACTATCCCAAAGTCAATGGCGCGCGTCGCTCTTTGTTCCCCGTCGCCCAAGGTCACTGGTAGGCATACACGCCCTATCACCCTGGCGGGTGCCCCGGAAAATCCAACCAAAATTGATTCCGATGGTCTGATCAACTTAGGTGATAGTTGCATGCGGGCCACCGTGTCTTTGAATAACACGTCCATGGAACTCCCCGTGTCGACGAGCATCCTCCTTACTTTGCGCCCTGCCACCACTCCTTGTATCTCCAAGGCGTCCATGGATGGGAGCATGCACGCCTCCTCAACCGGCGGTTTGCCTCTAGCTTTCCCCTCAAGTCCACCGTTCCTGAAATGGACTCGATGGTAAGTCGTGTTCGTTCGAGCGCCTTCTCTTGGTCGAGGACATAGGCGGGAGTGGCAGCTCCGTCACTCCTCGCTCCGTGCTGGCCACACACACTCGATGCACCCTCTCTTGTGGCTTCTTGACAAAGTCATTGAGCATCCCTCTATCCGCCAAGCCTTGCAGCTTTGTTTTCAATTGGCAGCAGCCGGCCGTATGGTGTCCCACCTCCTGGTGGAAATCACAATATCGGTCCAAGTTCCGTTCATTGGGTTGTCCCCTCATGGGGCCGTATGGAGTATGTTTTCAGCGTGTCATTGTATTCTGCAAAAGCTCCCGCCCCCCTGGGCGTCGGGCGCCCTGTGTCAGCTCTTCTTGGTGAGGGGGGGGGGGGTTAATGGGTGCATATCCTGGTCTATTCGGGGGATGTGGCCTCCTTATAATCTCAACTTCCTCTCCCCTCATCCTTCACCTATCTGCCCTTATGGACGCCAAAGTTTCTTCGAGCATGATCACCTTTTGCACCTGGTGATCCAAATTTTCCGTGGATACCACGTCCCTCTTGGTAAGCGCCCTGCATAGCTCCTCGCTGGTGGTACATTCGTTCAAGCATACTCCCAATATCGATGGCTGGGCGTCTTTTACCGCCGAGGCTACTGAGAGCCACCTTTCGTAAAATTCTCTCAGGGCCTCCCCTTCCTTCTGCTTAACCTTGAAGAGGGCGCCTATGGTCAGGGAGCGGTGCTTCCTGCTAGTGAACATTGCCAAAAACATCGCCGCAAACTGCTCAAAGCAGTCGATGCGCCCCTCTTCGATTTGGTGGTACCAGTCAAGGACCACGCCCGCGAAGGTCAACGGGAATACTTTGCGCAGGGTAGCGTCTGAGCTATTGTAAAGCTGCATCTTGGTGAAGTACCCGTTTAAGTGGTCGTCCAGACCCGCCGTCCCGTCATAAGTTGGGAGAGGGGGAATGTTGGTTCCCGCGGGATCCATCAGTAGGTTCCGCGCCAGGGGCTGCCTTACGGAGCCGTGGCGTGATAGGCGCCCCATGATTCCCATGTTCCATCCATTTGTGTCTGGACTGCTGCGTTCATGTGGGCGCCATAGGCTTGGTCGCCTCAAATCCCCAGACTCACATTCTGTCTCCGCCACCCTCTCCCTTTTCTTCGAGGTTGGGCTAGGCGTCATCCATTCTCCTCTCTTCAAGGCATCAACCTCCCGTCGAAGTTCCTCGATCGCCTCATCCTGATCGTCGATGATCCTAAACAGCTCCCTTTTGGTGACCGAGGCGCCTTCCGATCCTCGAAGCATGCCATCGCTTTCTTCTCCTTCGTCCATCTCGGGCGTCAGCCCTCTAATTCTCTCAGACTGGTCTTCCGTGATCTCCTCTCCCTCTCCACTCATAGGCGCCTCCATACTCATGATTCTTGGTTATATTCCCCTTTCTGGCGCGCCAATTGTTTGAGCCTCGACGCCTCGCCAACACATCCACATCTACTTTGCCTGGCGCCTGCCTACACACACGAGCACAGAGGGGGGCGCCTGGGCCCGTTAGCCCTCCCAAGATCAAGTCAGTCTCTTCCTAGAGAGAGAAGTGCTTAGAGAAAGAGCTTTAGTGAGAGAGTCCAACCTTTGTAAATGCTACCAACTGCCCCTATTTATACTCACCGAGCTCGAGGTGGATCTCCTCCACGTCACCGTCACATTAAATGCTTTGTACTTACCCTCCTGTCAGAAGCCTCAACCACCTTGTCAGACTTCTGACGACTGGCAGGCGCCTACAGGCGGGGGACCACTTGTCAGCCTGGACTTCTTTGGCCCTTAGCGCTTTGTCTCCATGCCTATGCTGCCTAGTATGAAGTGGGCTTTGCGGGCTTCTTCTCCTGGCCCACTGCCTAGGGCTATCTTCAACTGAATGGGCTCTCTCTTGGGCCCTCTTTTGGGCCCCTTTAGTGGTACCCCCAACAGTACCAAATAAATTATTCTGGCAATTATATTAATATTTATAATATTTATCCGACCAACGGGCGGGCCAAACTCTAGTACAATTATATGTGACAACATGGAATGCAATTGATCAAACAGATTACCAGGGCACAACAAGCTAGGGATGAACATTATGTTAGTTTGGGTGGAAATCGAACGAACCGAATAAATATCAAACCAGATTATGACCTTACTACTTGATCGAACCAAATTAAATAACATTTGGTTTGGCCCGTTCAATTCGACATATCGAATTGCAAAATGTCCGCACATGTCGTAAACACAATTCAAATCAATAAACTCGAAACCAAATAGGAAATAGAAAATCTTTAAAACATAACTGACACAGTAACTACCCAAAAACATCACAAAAAGGCAATGGCAAATTGATCAGTTGCATATATGTGAAAACCGAAATCCAAATCGAAATATTTATCTGTTCGGTAACTGAACTATAGGGTAAACCAAACATGCCATTGCCAATCCTTTTAGCAAGCCTTTTACTTGAAATAGAAACTAACTGAAACTTGTTAACGAAATGAGTGTGTTTGTGCAGGTTCGGCTGCTGAGTGAGATGGTCATTTGAAAAACCTCGCTCTATTTTTTTATCGCTCTAACTTAATATATAAGATTACCTCTATGTTTTTTATAAAAAATAAAAAATTCAAAATAAATAAATAAATACAGAGCACACTCCCCAATAGAATTATTTTGCTCACTGCCAAAGTTGTTAGTATATACTAACTAATATCCAAAATATATGAACTAATATCCAAATTCGCTGATTTTATGAAATAGTACTAAAGTATGTAGATAACACATACTAGTATTCAAAACATCACAAAACTAGTATCCAACTCACATATTAGTATTTAGTCAATCAATTACCAACTAATATTCACAATAAAACCAACTAGTATTAAATATGAATACTCTTATGTGTTATCTTAGGGGTGTTCAAATGGTTACCATGGTTATAACCAAACCAAATAAGGCTAAATTCCATTAACCATGAAATACAATATCATAACCAAACCGTCCAAACTAATACAACAACCAAATTAACCAAACTAAAGTTTAATTCCTTTGGTTAATTGGTTAACCAGATTAACCAATATAAAATCACATTATCATTGACGATGAAAATTTTTCGGTTAATGCAACAATTCACAATTTATATAATGAATAAAACATAACAATCAACACGTAGTTATAGTTGATCCTTAATAAAAATACATGCAACTAAGACAATTATCTTACGATTAGTATAGAAGTATTCACCTAACAAAAATATATGACAATGGTATGGGTTAATGAATTGTTGTGTTTGTGTAAATTGACTTAGTCTCTTAGCAATTATCATAGGCTGGAAATGACCTTCCTTTCAAGTTTTCATCCATCATAATGTATGAAATTTATCTAAATTAGACGTCCATATGTTGTGGTCTACATTTTACATATACAAATATACACTATATGAACCATAAAAAAAAACACTATATGAGCAATATTGAGCTTTATATTTTATGAGTCTAAAAGGGATGAACGTTAATTCTTGAGTGGTTATGCAAAGTATTAAGTATATGTATATAATATATGTTAGATATATGACTAATTACTTAACTGGTTAATTTGGTTTGACTGGTTAGGAGTGTCTGAAACCAAACCAAACCACCTAAACCAAACAAGCTAAAAACTTTAACCAAACCAAACCAATTATCCAAATTAACCAAACCAAATTATTCAAATAGTACCGGTTAAAACGGTTACCATGGTAACCAAGTCCTTTGAACACCCATAGTTATCTAGATACTCTTATGTGTTATCTGGATACTAATTATGTGATGTATGGATACTATTCAGTGTTGTCTATATATTAGTTTGTGAATTTGGGATAATAGTTGATTCATGGTGGATATCAGTTAACAAACCTTGAATACTAGTTTGAGCTCTCTAGATACTTTAGTACTACTTCATAAAAGCAAGAGACTTGGATACTAGTTCATACATTTTGAATATCAACTAGTATCTACTAACGAATCTTAAGTTAGTAGATTAACTTTTTCGCACACTCCCACTATCGCCACGACCGAATTTACAGTGATCCTGAAGGATAGAAAGGAGAAGGAGGAGTGACAGCGCGGAACAAAGAAAAATGGAAGAGGATATCGAGTTCGAAGGATGAGGGAGATTTGTTTGGGGTGTTTTTTTTTTCTTCCTTGTTCTTGGTTTGACGGAGGACAATTAATTAATTTACACTTTTATGTTAGAAGGATTTTAATAAAATTAGAAAGACATTTAGCCGTGCAGGATTGAAAATTATCACTTTTCATCCTATTTCCTATGGATGAAGAGAAAGCCAAAACCCACCTGCTGGCCGGCGATCTGTTGCCAAATCCAACAAGCAAAGCGTTAAAAACAAAACTATACAACCGAATAGTTAAAAAAAGAGCAAACACAAATCGGCTACCAACTGTTGAAGCGTCATGCATGATGCTCTCGTGGGCCATCAATGGTCATTCAGAGCAATGCATGAACTTGCAATCAACGACAAGAAAAGAATCCATAATCCGAACGCAATCTGGAAAAAATCATTATTATATGCACCAATTCAATACAATGATGAGGGATCTTTGACTAAGGTCAGTAGTGGACAGAGGGAATATACCATGTAAGCCCAATATTCTTCATAAGAACTACTCTCTGAATCATCACCCAGCTCTGCACCATGAACCCTCATGAAACTCTATCAGTCCCTCGCCTCGACTCAATCCTCTAATTCACAATTTTGATCTTCGTCGAGCTTAGAAGTGACGATTACGAGGCAACTTGTCGGGGTGTGATGATTTCAGAGCACGTTGTTGATCAGGATAGAGATGTTTCTCTCACCGGCGGTTTGTTCTTCTTAGTGATAGCAATTTTGGGGACGAGATGGAATTCGACGACATATGGGAGAAAATAGAAGGTTAGATGTTGATAGAAGGAAGTTGTGTAAAATATATATAATGAATTTTTTCACGTTAATCAGTTTAAACTTATTTGACCCCTAATTCTTAACTCACTTCCTCATCCGGACCAATGCTTGAAACCAGATCAACAACATTATAGTGGTACCGATGTGAGTTAGAAGTTGATAGTTGGAGGACCATTATAATAGTAGTGCTACACAACAAATTAAGCTAGCAAATGATGGGAATTCTATTCAGTTTACATATGTAATTAACATAAAATTTTATTTTATCGTTGAAGGGTATACTAATCATGAATGCCTTGATAGACAATAATGGACCTCCCTTTTG